GTTCTCTTCATGGGAATTTTAATTCAATTTTGAATAACTGTTTGGTATTAAGAAAAAGACTTAAGACCAAAACTGCAGCAGAGGATCTGCTTGAACCTGATGAGAGGTGGGACCTCTGCATTATTCTCAATGAATTGTTAATTCAGAGAAGTGATATATTACAGATTATTCTTTGCCGTGTGGAGTCATGGGGATAATGTATCTGCATAATTTTCTGAGTCTTAAATTCCTTATGTTACTAAAATGTGTCTTCTAGGAGCTGGCTACACCTTTACTGAAGTTTGTTTCAAATTGGTATCAGCTTCAAATACATTCTTGGGAGATCAGTCACCATAATGCAAAATAAATGTCTTGGGCAAGTTACCTGTCCTACATGTTGCTGGATTTAAAATTAATACTGAAGGCTTGAATTGGGATGCAGCTTTGTAGTCCATATGACAAACTTTTACTGATGCATATGCCATAGGAAATGCATAAGGGAGTTCTGAAAATACTAGGATGCTTCTAGTAAATGAAGTTACACTTTTGTGGACATTCATTGGCTATGTCTTGCTACCTTTTTTTTTTTTTTAATTAAAGAATGGTTGTAGATTAAGGAACAGTGAGGGACTTGGAGAGAAAATTGAATACAGAGGAAAACAGTTTTGCTCTGTTTAGAAGGGATGAATACTGCCAAGTTGTACAGTTTTAGAGAAATACCAATTTTAGGTTTTTATTCACTTGCACTTGAAGCACAAGAGCAGAAAAGCTGTTGAACAGCACTTTCATGAAGAGAACTTGTTGCCATGAGATGTATTTGGAATCAAGATTTTAGCAGGTTTGCAACGAAACTTTTTTTTTTGATGATGAAAAATGGGAGATGAAAAGGTCATGTCAGGAACAAGTGTTTCTTTAGCTGTCTGGTGCTGCTGAAGAGCTTCTGTAGGCTGTTTTATTCAGTATTTCTCCATTGTGAGGTTGATGCTGTCTCTAGTTTGTGTTCCCATCCCCATCTATAGCTCATATTTCAGAAAAAGTGTAAATATATATTGAAATGGGTCTATTCAGCAATGCTTGTAAATGTGCAGTACTGCGTGTACCTAAGACCTGTTGGACATGGTCAGACTTGCAGACGTGTCCCGTTACACGAGGATGGAGCACCGAGCTGGAGGCAGAGCATCATGGCAAATGGAGTGGTAGCCTAGCCTGGGATGGCAACTCCTATTTTCCTATTACCACCAGACCAGGTATTTTGGTTGTGAAAACCAGAATCGCTTACTTGGGTTACCACATCTTACTAAGCAACGTGGCTCCTGACATAACCTAGTTCTTTGCAGGGGTCTCTTCAACTTGATGTTCAGGTAGGACTGGGGGATGATGAGCTCCTGCAGTCGGTGGGTTGGCTGTGCTGCTTCTTGCAGGAGCCCTGTGCTGTACAGGAACTCAGTTTGTAGAAGAGAATGCTATTCCAGAATATTTATGAATTTGTTTTAGTGCTGCCAGAAAAGTGAGCAGGAGGAAGGAGATGATAATTTTCCCCAAAGAAGCCTGTCCCAGCAGCTGCAGACAGTCTTGCCCCCGATGTCTCAGACCTGCTGGAGGCTGGAGAGGGACAGAGTCTCTCTTCCCGTTCAGTCCTTGGCCTCTGATGATTCTTGCCAGCCAGCGACCCGTGTGATGACAGTTCCTGTAACAGCTTTTGTCGTGTGGATGCATGTCTGTTAGGCACCAAATTGGGACACTCCACAGCGCATTTCGCCCGGCCCGCTGAGCGGTGGCAGCGCTGGTGGTCGGGGCGGGAGCTGCAGGACCTTGCTTTGCCCTGCAGTGTGTGCAGTCATTTACAGCAGGGCCGAGGGGGTGTGTAATCCTGTTAAATCAAAACCATACCCCTGATGACTGCTGTCCCGTTCTCCAGTTCTGTGCCACTTCAGGGACAATGAGATTTCATATCTTTGTTTTATTAAATCTCTAGTCATACAGATTTGGAAGTCTGGTACCTTTTTATAGGGATTTGATGGCACGTCCACAGTCAATCAGATTGCATTTTCCACACTTAGTGTGTGTGTGTGTGTGTGTGTAACTGTATATGGGATTTTACTTTTAGTCTCATGGATTTTTCATAAAGTCTGTGATGCTTTCTGGAATAATGCAGTTATTCTTTCCCCTAGGACAGTGCTCTAATTTGCCTTGTTTTGGTTGTCTTCATGGCAGGTAGAGCAATTTTTGCCCTCTGCTTATTCAGTTTATCTAGTAGTCAGCCACTGAAGTTATTTGACTGCTCTGGTGGGAGCAGGCAGTATTTAAATCAACGAATACTGAAGGCTTCATTCGGCCAGGTGCCTAGTGCTGAGCACTGGAAATGGCCATCTGTGGTTAGGGAGCTCATATTTTGTTTTCTCCTGGCACTGACTTTGCTGAAATAATTGTTTAAATGGTCACAGCACAGTCTTTAAAAGACACCAAATGCAGAAATAGAAACAACGATTGAAAGAGTAAGTGCGTAGCTGTTGGCTCCCTCTGCCCAAGACTTTTCAAATAGTTAAATAACAGTGAAAAAACTAGCACTTTATCTTCTCCCAGAGTCGTTGCTGTTCCAGACAAACCCTTGTGCATCTTATCAGAGCTTTCAGTACACAAAAGGTGGTCTGGGTGGCGTGAGAGGGCAGCAGATGGAGGTGATGGCTTTGAATCATGCTTGGAGAGCCACTCGATTGCTGCCTGCCGAGGTGGGGTTTCTGCCCCTGCCCCCTGCGTGTGCTCCAGCGAGCACTGGTGAGCGCTTTTTGGAGGCTCTGAGCCAGCAGAGTCCGTGTGGGAGGCAGTCGCAGGCTGGGTTGCCCAGGTTTGAGGGGAATGGACCCGCTTAGTGCAGGTGTCTCATCAGGAAAAACAGCCAGAGTTGAACCCCGGGGAAGAGTTACCACTTGTCATCAGGGTGTGAAAACACTTTCCAGTAAGATGTTTTGTGCCCTACATGGTGTGGCTTTCAGTTGGAAATAAGGAGCGGGACTAGGACCGTCCCTGTTGTAATTTATGGGTAGGATGAGGCTGGAGCAAGTCAAGTGCTGCAGCAGGCCTTTGAGACCCACCTGGGCAGAGCCCTGACCAACCTGGCTTGAATTCAGCATTGACCATGCCTCAAGCCAGAGGTTGAATTGGATTGTCTAAGCGTCTTGACCAGTTATAAGAGGGCTTTCAGTTTGTCTTTAAATCTCAGATGAGCACCAAAAACCAGGAAGCTTGGGGAATAATATGGTTGTTTCAGGTACTAGAAGGCGTTGCTTTTAGAATCTAGACCTGCAAGTGCTGTTTGTGCAGAAATCTGTATGAAAATCTTTGAGGTCAACCCAGTGGTAAGGACACAGACTGAATGAGTGCATTAAAAAGAGGTGGAAAGGAGGGGAGGTGGGTAGGCCCTCAGATAGTTGCGGAGAGACTTTTTTTCCCGATTGCCACTAACTGGAAAGGGAATTTGGTGGTTTTGGGGAAGAGCTGACCCAGTGTGCTGTGCAGCACTGCTTCTCCTCCCTGCTGACGTCTGTGCTGAGCTGCCTATGCTTCGGGCATGCAGCAAAGCCCTGCAGACCTGGGCTCTGAATAGTCAGCCCAGCTACATTGGACTTGATGTCCTGGGATGCAGGATCTTGGTGGTTCTTCATGATTTAGCCTTGCATCAGGTTTTTGCCAGGTCAGCAGAGGCATTCAGAATATTGTTTTCCTTGAATGTTCAGGCTTCAAGAACGGTGTGAAATGAGATGCTGATATCCAGCTTGCTGGTCTGGCTTGCAAAGTTCTGCTCTGGTTTGACTCCGGGCCCTTCTGGATGCTGTAGGTGAAAATTGCTTTGATTCAGGCTGGTTGTAAATCAGTCCTACCTGCTTTGACAGCCCACTTGGACAGAGCTTTTGCTGGTACTTCTTGTGATGCTTTTCATAACTGTCTGGCCTCTGGAAGGAAAACAATACAAGGAATCCCTAACAGCAGGTTGATTTAATGGTTTTACTGATCGTGCCAGTGAATTGTTATCACTCCTGGTTGCCTGGGGAGCTGCTAGTTTGTCATGTTGGAAACCTTTCTGCAAGTACATGGCGTTTATTCTTGGATTTTTTTCAGCTCAGGTCTGAAATCTCTGATGGGACAAATTCATTGATGGGGGGAGCATGGAAATGTTTGGAAGGGAGGAAAAAAACCCCTTTTTACACAGACACTCATGTTTTATCTGTGCTTGAGCTTTTAGTCAGTCTGCAAAAATCTTGCTGCATTTGAATTATGTAATTATTTTAGTCTAGAATTGCATTTAACATGCTTCACCCCTGTGTTTACTCTGGCTGTTGCCTCTGAAATGACACTATGAATCCTGCTCCTGTGCCACTTCATCCCAGCGAAAGAGCCGGTCTCCACTGGACAGCATTGCCAGGAGAGCTGTGGTTGCCAGGGAGTTACTTGTTGTGATGTTTCACGTAGTGACAGAGCCCTGGTGTAGGCATTTGGCTACTGAGCTGTGTCTGTGCCACAAAAGCTCACCTGTACAGCCCTACCAGCAAGCTTTACTTGTGTCAATCTGGCATTGTGAAGGGTTTTGCCAGAGAACTGAATACAAGATTGGGCAGCGTTTTGTTTGACATGCGAGGTGTTGACATATGGTCCAATAAATGTGGTTATTGGAAAAGCTAAAGATAATATTTACCTTGAAAAATCCATAGTTGGGAATAAATGGCCACGTCTGCAGCTGAGGCAAGTGAGAATGAGTGCACTGCTTTCAACTGGGCCACCCACCCCAGTTTTCACCATCTGAGGATCCAGGCAAGCTGCTCAGGTAGGTGAGTGAGCAACCTAAATGGGGAGAGAGAGAGAGAGAGAGAGAGAGAGAGAGAGAGAGATAGCAAGCGGTTTTGTGGAGGAGAAGTTTGCTCTTCGTTAGCCACTGTAAGTAGATGTACCTTCACTCTGGAGTTGTGATACCACTTGTGACCCTTTTTTTTTTTCTCCTCTCTTCCTCCTCCTCCCTCTTTCTCCAGGGTTTAATGCCATGGCTGCGGATGAAAGTGCTACAGAAAAGCAAGCGGGGGAACCAAAAATGGCAGTAGATGGTGAAACCAACGGTTCCTGTGAGCACAGCGAAGCTGGTAGCCACCCAAACCCAGCTAAAAACACTCAGGACAATACGAAAGTGAGCCAGCAGGACTCTAGTACTAAATTAAATAGGATAGCAGAAAATGGCATTTCTGAACGAGATGGTGAGACTGGGAAGCAAAACCATATGAAAGCTAATGACTTCACACAGACTTCTGTAACAGGGAGCAATGGATATATTCTAACCAAGCAGATGGCACAGGAGCAACCTCTAAGGACTACCAGCACCTTTGCTTCTCTCACCGGCCATGCTGCAAAAACCCTTCCAGGAGGAGCAAGCAAAGGGAGAACTGTGGGCTCCTTTTCTCAGATGCAAGCCACGATGCCAACCAAGCTCGGGGAGGGCAGTAAGGACATGGATGCTAAAAAAGCCACCGCTGCTAACACCGAAGTCAAGGTCCACAGAGCACGGAAGACAATGCCTAAACCCACCCCTAGCCTGGTAACGTATACGCCCAGCAGTCAGTGCTGCTGCTGCTGCGATTGCTCTTGGCTTTCTTTGAATGCGTGAGAGGGATACCGTGCTGCATGGGAACACGTGTAATTTGGAGGTGTCCCACTGAGTGGATTGATCTAGCAAAAAAAAAAAAAATATTTTTTCTCTTCCTACAGAGAGACAGAGGTGTTAAAATAGAGTCACATGGCCACCATCAGCTCTCTTCCCCAATGTGTTTCTAAATATATAATTGATCAATTGCCTTCTCCAACAGATGTATGTGAGGCACTAAATGGCCTTTCTCTTTTGGCTGTATTGCTCATCAGCCGTCTGCTGAAATCCAGAGCTGCTTGTGAAACAAATTAGATTTCTTATAAGTTCGACCCAAAGGAAATTAAGCATAGCATGTTAACTTGAGGCTTCTCCTAAGCTTGGAAGCTGTCAAGAAGCTGATATGTTAGGCAATTTGATTGCATTGCTGTATTATTATAGTAGTAAACGAGATGATGTTTTCTCTCTCCCTCTGTGTTGCCTGCAGTAATGCAACTTGTTCAGAAATCTTCACTCCAGAATCCTTAGGGGTGGATTTACCATCACTTAATAAAACAAAGCTCTGCCTTTTTTTAGGAGGCAAAAGCAGATGTGAAGTCATCTGGTGCACTCATGTTCTAGTGAACAGAAATGAGCCTTTCCTTGTCATTGGCCAAGTTTGGATCTTTTGGTTATTTTTTTGGTTCTTTGCCAAAGGTAGGGAATAGGTACTGGAAGAGGCAGCTGTCCACATGAGCGCTTGGTCTCCATCCCTGTGACACTTTATATTTAGCTACAACGAGCTAGATCCTCTCCTAGTGCTATGTCTGATGGTGGAGAGAAACTGGCTGAGGTCTCCTGCACCTAGGTCAAGGATTGGGAGCCCTGCTTGGCAATGTGGGTCACACCCAGAAATAAATGGGGAGCTGCTGCAGCTTTGTAAAGGTTGGGGCAATGGATTGCTGTTAGCTAGCTACCAGCGTATGGCAGACCAGCAAATGCAAAGTGATCCTCAGATCTCACCCACATGTTGCAGCACAGCAATAATATGATGTGAAGGTCTCAAAGCTGTGAATCGCTGTGGTCTGGAATAGGGGAAGAAAGTTAAAAAAAAAGATGGGTGGCACCTAGCCAGCCACAGATGGGGAAAGGTGCCCTTGGCCGCGGCACCACCTGTGTCCCCGGAAGCAGGTGGGAGTCCAAAGAGCACATCAAGATTACAAACCTCGTGGGCACCCAGCCTCAATAGTAGGGCAGAAGCCACGCCTGCCTTCATTTCCCGACCATTCTCCCAAACCGCTCATTTCCCCTCTGTCTTCCCCTGATTGCATTTGAATTCTCTCACTCCTGCTGTGTTTTCTGGCTAGCAAGCAGGGAAGCCCAGATGCAATACATGCAGCCTGATGAAAATCTCACATTGGGCTGTCTCTTACACAGACAAGGCTTTGCCACCGAAACTTCCTTGCAGCTTTCCTCCAGCAGCCTGTTGTGCACTTAAATTAGGCTGGGCAAACCCCCAGACCCTTGTGGAATTTGACAGGGAGAGATCCCTTGGGGCTGAGCAATTGAAAGAGGCAATTCCCTTCTAAAAGACAACTGCTAGGTCAGGAGGGAGTGTTTTCCTCATTCATATTTTATGATACATCAAAAGAATATTTTCACGCAACCCCTTGTGCTTCAAGGTTTGTCTCTAGAAAGCTGCGTGCGATGTTTGCGAGCGCTTGCAGCGCTCCGTTACACGAGTTGCTGTGATAGTGCTGTTGATCGTTATTTGCTCACACAGTAACAGCAGTGTCAGAAACCAAAGTCTGCGGTTACTGGGCATCTCTAGAAAGTTCATAGCCTGTCCTCGGCACCTCTGGCCATTTCCCTTGGGTTTAAAATAGGGAGAGAAACAAAATTCACAAGGGTGGTAAGAAGAGGCCGTTCCCATGCTCTCTGCTCCCATGTTCTCTGCTCGAGCCTCTGCATCTGAATGTGAACCCAAGATTTGATCTCGTTTCTACAAGACAATAAAACATCTGTTTTGTTCAGCCTTCCTGATAATTACGATCTAATTTTTTCCCATTGTCTTTCAAATTGACGTGCTATTTTCTTTTGAGTAGCAGAGTTCTTGTTAATTGTAATTTTTTCTGTCCTGATTATTTCTTTGTTGAGCTGCTTATGAGGCTCATCACCACAGCATTGCAGTAACTTTTCATGTACCAACCTGCACATTCACACCTTTTCACCTTCAAAAGCACCATGTTAGCAGGTGCTGTACTCCAGGAAATAAATTGTGGAAATCACCCAGACGTTGATGTTACAGGACACAGTAGTTTCCTTTGCTAATATTTTTTAAAGTATTGTTGTTCTCTTGGTAGACTATTCTTGCAGACCTGTGCTGCTTGGGAGAAGGAGGGGAGGAATGTGTTTTGTTGCCTGCAAAGCGTAAACATTTGTTCCCACCGGCTCCTGCTCCTGCAGAAACCCACTGGGGCCAAAAAATTATTTTCTGTAATCCAGTATCTGTCAGGGGACCTTGGTAGCCTTTTCCTGCACATGTGGATTGGTCTTTGAAAGGAAGAAAATAATTTTCTCGCAAATGTAACCAGCTTTTTCTCTGTTTAGGAGTTGCTTCCTGAATTGGGATCGAAGCTGAATCTGAAACAGGTGACAGTTTTAATTGATGTCGCATGTTAAAGCGGTTTCTGAACAAAGACCTTGGAGGAGTTGTTGATAGCATCATTTCTGCTCCCCTTGTGAATAATACAGTAACACAACCATTGCACCATTCTTTTGTTCCTAATCCATTTACAATCCTATTAAGAACCCAGAAGTTTCCAGGGCCAGACAGCAGACTGAAAAGCAGGTGTGTGGGTGGGTGTGTGTGTGCTGTGCTTGGAGAAGGCCCCTCCTGCTCTGAAGCTCCAGTTTCTGAGCTTAACATTACTAAGATGTGTCTGGAAGGGATAAAGGATGATAAAGGTAGTGAAAGCATCCCATAGTTATCTCTTGAGATAGGAGGAACAGATGGCTGAACTGGGAATGCTGAGTTACGTTTCTGTTCATTACTTGGTGACCATGAGTCTGCAGTTTGAGGTGTATGTCTCTGATGGTATTTTTTTATGCTGTGCAGAGGGCCAGGTCAGGGGAACTGAACTGTCAGAAGAAATAGTGCAGAAATCCATGAAATTAGTATCTCAGCCTGATTTACAGTGTAAGCCCAAAACATAGGGTATGTATATAACTGGGTGAGAGAAAGCCTGGTCAGGATGGAGGAGCTTGGAGCAGGAGACACTTTGCTTATGTTGGTGTTTCTACCAATATTCATCAAGCTATACCTTTAAGCAGCATTGGCACTAAATACCTGATCCCTGGACTGGTGAGCTGCTTGCTTTGTGCACAGGTGTTGCTGAAAAGTATTGTTTTCCATGTCAGTGCCCAGCAGTACTGCAGCAGTGTGCTGGTGTGGTCTCTGGGCTGCTCTGCAGGAGCTCCTGGCCCAAGAACATTTTGTGTTCATCTCTTGGGCTGGGCAGGTGGCAGTTGGGGGTTTCCGAAGGTCTGGGCTTGCTCAGCAGGCTCAGACCCTCTCATTGCAGAAAACTCAAGACAAAGGGCAGGTCCTGATGGGGATGGTGATGGGGATATTGCCTCCTTGGGGCTGGTGGGGGAGGGAAATAAATAAAGGAAGAGTACAGGGCATAGTGAAGTAGAGCTCTCCATCTGATTGCAGGTGCTGCTGTCAGCTTGTCTGAATCCAGAAGGTGTACCTGTGGAGGACCCGCTCCAGAGGGGTACCCAGGTGTGCACGGGCAGACTGAAAGTGTGAAGTCCGTGTGTGCCAGCTTGGCCTTAGTTCTCCTATGGGAAATCTCCTTCAGGAGTGATGAGACCGTAAACTACCACTGGACATTTTATATAGAGGGTTTACTGCATAGGGAGGTAGAAAGTGAATGTATATTGTATAGTAGGCAGTGAATGTTTATTGTGCAGTACTTTTCATATTTCAGTGGTTGTGCTCGTGCTGCTGACATGGCTGCACTGGCTGAAGGGGGCTGCCCCAGCCACAGACCACAGCCAGCAGAAATAACCGTCCCAGTCCCAGGTCCCCAGCAGACCTGACCTATTTCTGTCAGGAGGCTTGCTATTGAAACTGGTTTGAGCTGCTCTTTTTCGTTTTGACTGATGCGTGACGCTCTCTTCCCCTGGAGTTGCTCCATCTAGGAGGGGACAGGGACAAGGAGTGGGGACTCTCCCCTTGACCCGTCAGAGTGCACGCCTCTCAACAGTGCTGGCTCAGAAACCCATTAAATGCAGGTTTGTAGCTTGGTTTAGGAACATCTACACTTAAGCACAGTCTGCCTAACAGCCTAAACCTCTATGATTTTATGCAGATACTGACCGCACACAAATCACTGTAGCGGTAATCACATCACATTGGAATTCCTCTTCTAATGGACACGTGTTAATCTGCAGATAAAAAGGCGTTAATAGGTGGATCAGCCTTGCAGCTTGTCTGATCTAGATTAAGACCAAAGCCATGCAGGTTTTTGTTGCTCCAAGGTAAGGCTTAGGCAGTGGTTATGATCCCCTGGCAGCTGTGCTGAAATTCAGTAGTGAAAAGTAATTCTGCAGCAGTGGAAGAAAGGGAGAGTAGCACCACTACAGCTCCTATAGGCACTGTCATCTGCTTGTGATAAATTTTGTATAGACTGATACTTCTTGCTCAAATATCATTCACCAGTTGTTAGAGGCAGATACCCCTTAGAGCTGCTACTTTGTGCTGTTCAAAGGCAGCACCTTGGTACGATGCACGTCCCTCTGCACAATGGATGGAGAGAAGAAGGTTGCTCCGTGACAGCTGCCGTGTTGCCCTGTGGCAGTGGTGGTTGGTTTAGTTCTCCTTGCCTTTGGCTTCAAGCTCGTATTGTGCTGGAGATGAAAGTCCTTAAAAGAAACAAGACATCTCGTGTGTTAAAGCTGGAGATGATTTCAGGTGTCAAGAGCAAACGGTCGTCCTTCTGCGGCGCCCTTCAGATCTGCCCAGCTCCGAAGCAGGACCTGCAGGACCTTTGCCAGTGTCCTTGCACCAACACACAGATGGAGTTCTGGTCTGGTTTCTCTTTGGTTGTTGCTATCTTGCTTGCTTTGGTAACGGAAAGACCTCTTAATTGCTGGGCTGCGGGAAGACTGCCATGTGCGGTCTGTTGAACCAACACGGGGTTTCATTTGTAAGGTTTGTTTGTTCCGTGTTTTTGCCTTTGGGGAAAAAAAAAAAAAAAAAAAAAGGATGATATTCTGTCTTTTGCCATTTTTAGTAACTTCCCCCTGCTGCTGTAGGGGACTTCTCTGCCAAGAATAGAAACATGGTAAATCCCATTAAAATGTAGAAAGCACTTGAGTTTAATTTCTATAAACACATAAAATATTGTGTTCTTGTCCCAATCTGAGCAGTTTACTTGACTATTTTTCTCATAACGGTGTTGGACATAGTTGTGGTCCCTTTTTGCTGTTTCTAGGCAAGCATCTCTGGAAATGTTGGCGTGAGCCTTGGAAGTCTTCAGCTTCTTGACTACTCCTTGCAATGCCCAACATGAAATAGTGACTTCACAGCCTTTTGCATAGGATGAGCTGGTACCTCATGAGAAGCTGCAAGAAGTGAAGATATTATCAATTCAGTTACTTTCTCTATCATGTTTGGTCCTTTCTTGGCCTCCATTGGCCCACACGTGTGGTGGTTAGGACAAGATGCAAACACAGGGAGCTCAAACTGCGTCCTGGAGTTGCCTTTGCTTGGGATTCTCCTCACTGTACTTCTCTAAAACTGTAGATAAAAACTGTGCTTGATTGTTAAATATGATCGGGGGAAAAAGAAAAAGACCATGGCTGTTTTGGACAAGGGTAGCACACAACAGTGAAGTTTATTTAGGGTCAGGAATAGTGTTTCTCACCTCTAATTTTGCTGTTTGCAGTGGAGCCCATGCAGGTGTTAGATGAAAGCACCTCAGCTCTCTTTGTTGGTTTAAGTGAAGGAGGATGATCTTCATCCAATTTCTGATCATAGGCGCCTGCTTAGTTAAAAATGTGGCAACTCGCAGTGCGTGTGCCCTCGTTGGTGTGCTTGGCAGATCAGTCCATGCCCAGCAGATCACAGAAAGCTGTGCATCGCTTTCCCGGCGTGGTTGCTTCTGGTGCAGGCTCCAGCATCGCCGGGCTGGCGTTTTCCACCTTCAGCAGAGGACTCTGGATCTTCAGGAAACGAAGCAGGAACATGGTAGGATTTATCACAGCAAATTGGATGAATAGATGTTACTCGCAGTCAGCGCTGTTGGGTTTGTTGAAGCACCTGCTTTTTGCAACACCCTTTGTGCTTTGCCAACATGAGTGTCCCCTGCTGGGAAGAGTTAAGAGAGGCCGTAAGCCAAGAAGCGAGAGTTTCCTTGGGTGGATGCTGAGCTGCAAGCAGTTTTGTAGATACCTGCTTGATGCTGTGCCTTGTGCTAGGAACAGGGAGGGCAGGAGGAACCCATCCATCGTGAAACTGGGAGAAGGTGGCACGGGACAGGAGCATTAATTGCTATCAGCTGTGCCAGTGGCTGTGTAGCCCACAGAGGTGGCTTAGAGCTGGGTCCTACCAACCCGGGGCTGGGGCATGGGCTGGCAGGGCTGGAGGTAGCTGCCCTGCCTGTTCTGAAGGGGAAACCTTCATCTGAATTTTGCCTTGGACAGCCTGTTCCCCAGCAGGAAACTCATTGGAGCTAAACGGACGTGCAGCATTTTGAGAAGTTCTCTGATGGTGCTGGGAGCTTGCAGATGGATCTCTGAGCTTTGTGTTTAAATGAATCACTGTCATTTTTTGTTTCCGTTCTGCTTTGGTAGGAGGCTGTTGAGCCCCACACAGTCCAGCACCCTCTTGCCCCGCTCCCAAATGCACAGTCTGTCTTTTGCCTTTGCTTCTTTTATTCGAACCTGCCCACTCTCCTCTGCTGAGAGGTGTCACATGCAGGTTGTAACCTGGGCACCGAAGGATGCCAAATATCTTTGCAAGGAAGGGCTCAGGTATGCTTGAACCAGATCTTGGCCAGCATGATGGGGTTTTAAGGAAAAAGAAATTTCCCAGCAGACCAGTGTGCTAGATTAGCAAAGCTTCTTTTCTGGCAGTGTTTAGATTTGGAGCAGATAGAGCAGAGCATAATAGCTCAGTGTAGGACACCAGTATGGCATGTATCTACAGGCTTGAGTTAAGGAACTAGGAGAATTCAGAGATATTAGAAATGGGAAAAGAATATAGTTTCATCCACTAAACATTCTACTTGTGGATGAGTAAAATGTAATAAGATCAGCAAAGATGTAACTGTTTTATCCTGCTAAAAATGAAGAAAGATGATGAGAAAACTGAGTATAAATGCTTTCAAATCTTTGTTTATTCTTTTTATTACAATCCTTAGATTTAGTATTTATACATATATATATATATACACATGAGAGATATATATGCTTTACTGCTGGCCTGCTCAGCTTCCCTGCCATCAGGTTTCCCAAGAGATCTGGTCACCTCTCTGCAGGAACTCCTGTTCTTTAGCATTGCTGCATATGTCTCCAAGTAATAATCCAGATCTCACAAGGCTTAATTTGATTTAAAAAATTGTTTTAATGGAACTGTCATGAAAAAGTCACATTTAACAGTTGTCATGCAGCCCTATTGAAGTTTTTAAATTTATTTCCATGTTGTAATTACAGAGGCAGAGGAAAAACCCTAAGCTAATAGCATACTACTTTTTCACTTAAAATTTGATTATGTTCTTCCAAACAGTCTGGCGTGGTCTGAATGTGAATTCTTGATGTTTGGGAGTAACAGAACGTTTTATCAGAGACCAGTTGCAAGAACCTGCACTTAAAGGACAAAAAATGCAGCCCTTATGTATACTTATCACCAGCTCTGCGTCAGATCTGCCTCTCTCAAGCTAATTTTTCTAATTTTAAGTTAAAAATGGAAAGCAGTAGATGTTCCAGGGGACTTGGGAATTCTCAGAATAATCCTGTAGCCAAGAGTTACCATTAACCTTTCGATCTATAAACTAGGGACTTTTAAGAGGTATAAATAGTATTGTTGAAACTATTATTGGCATACTGTGCCCAGCACTCCTGACGTACATTTTTTAAGGAGTAGAACAACTGGGAGCTGTCTCAGGAGTGATCCAATGTCCAGAAAATGATCCTATGGACACTTAATTTGCTCATTCTATTAAGGTTACTAAAGAGAAAGTTTTAAAAAAAAAAAAAAATTTGGTCATAGTCCATAAGTATCTACTTGGATTGAGAGTTTCTGATGATACAGGGCTTTTTAATTTAGTTGAAAAAGCATAATGCATTTAATTATTTGACAGTGAAAGCAATTAAGCATTGGAACAACATATCAAAGGATATGGTAGATTTGTTGTCTTTGAAATCGTTAATCCAAGACTAGATGCCTTTTAAGAAAAAATGTGGCAATTCAGCCATAAGTTATGGGCTTGATGCAGGAATCATTGGCAATTTGATGGCCTTTTTATGTGGGTCATTTTTGATTATCACTACAGCTTTTCTGTCTGTGACTGAGCCCTTGCTTTCTGTCAGCACTGTGCACATGGCAGAGCTGTAATTAGGAGAATCAGTTGCTTCCCCATTTGTTCACAAGGTCACATTACTTGAAAGCAGTGTCTGAGAGTGCCTATCTGAACCTGGACTTTAAAAAGTGTTTTTATTGCTTGCTGCTTTTTATTCCTTTCTTTCTTTCGCCTGGATTCCTCCTGTTCTGGTGTTTCAGCTGTTGCTTCAGAAGTCCTGTAAGAAGTACTTTCCTGCAAGTTCAGCAGCACTAAAACATTGCCACCACAGATCTTGTAATCTGCTAGCTGTGCTCTTGGTTTTCTGGAGCATCTCTGCCCAACCTGCCTCCTACTTGACAGTTGAATGGACAGACGTATGGAGAGATGTGGATGCAGCTAGGCCATCTTTTAAATACAGAAGAGGGCAAATCCAGTGTAAAGTGTCAAATCAGTGGCAGCATTTACCCCGCTCTTTGTTAATACAGTGGTTGCTGCAAAAGGTGCGGCTCTGGGGGATGTGGAGCTGTAGGAGCCCTGCTTTCATCACCAGAGGTGCTGGATGAGACTTTGCGTTCAGTACAAGCCTGACTCAGAGTGGGTGCAAGCCTGGGAGCCTGGCTCCAGCAATGGGGAGTGCAGTAGCAACTGCAGAATTCTCTTGGTTTTCGGTAGGAGCTTGTAGCCTGCCCTGTGTTTGCTGTTGCAGCAGGTAGATCGGGAGTACCTGAGCTAGCTGGCTTCAGGTGAGCCTGGCCAGATCTTTGCTGCGGCAGTGGCAACACTGTCGATGAACCTGCAATGTCAAGCAAGTACGTTCTTTGCCTGTGTTTTGTTGTGTGCTAGGCTGGAGGTGGGAGCCTTTGCTCAGTCTTAATTGTGCCAAATGCTGTCCGAAAGGAAGGATCCCTTCCCGTCGCTGCCGGCTCTTCTGAAACATCTCTGTGAGACTGTTCCCGTGCATGCTTCCTGTGACAGCCGCGCTTGGGGCGTGTTTCAGGGAGTAGGTGTATTTGTTGCATTTGTTCATCTTCTCCAGAGCCAACCAAATGCCTGTGTAAATAGTGTCTGATCCTTTTCATTATCTGCAGTTGCTTTGGATCTGCCTCTGCAAGGTAGCCTTTCACCTTCAAAGGCAGTGGCCTTCATCAAGTGAAGAAGCAGCAGGCTGGGAGTGTTTGCAGTCTTTAGGCAAAGTAACATTACATGGTAGAGGAGGGGCTGTGTGCTTTTGCTCTGAATGTCTGGTCTGGTCTTTGAATGAAAGTGATTATGCTTGAGAGAAAGGAATTAAATTTTTCTGATTATTTTTTTTTAATGCAGAGGCTCATTTTAACTGCATTTTCTTTTCCAGCATGCAAGTAAAGACCCCAAAGATGGGAGAGACATCAGAGATCAAAAAGAATCCAAGGAGGAAGGCAACAAAAACATCCTGGAGTTTGGGAAGCCGTTGCCGTTGCCCTCTCTCCCGGGCCTTCACCAGTCACTACCTCAGAACCAGAGCTATGTGCCCACCACGAAGTCACAGACAGGTATAAAGGACAGAGTTAAAATCTGTGGCAGCACCCACCTCCCAAATGCGTGTGTACTGTGTGGTTGAGCGGGAGATAAGGCAGGTTAACAAGGACTGAAACCTCTGTTAGTACCTTTTTCCCACTGAATCTCTTTCAGGGTTTCTTTCCTCCCCTGCTGGCATCAGTAGGGCTGCCGCCGTAGAACTTGTCTGACAGGTCCCGTTTCATTCAGACACTTCACTGCAAGTGGCCGTTGCACTGCAAGCAGGATGCTTGTGTCCTCTGTTCTTCCCTCTGGTCACCTCTGGATGTTGTACAGGGTATATTCGTGCAGTCCCCTGTTAAAGTAGCCTCCCAAGTGAAGTCCACCAGTTTTCTGCTCCGCAGGGAGCACCCGCCATGCAGTCCTTCCTGTGCTGCCTTGTTTCATGGGGTGCAGGTCCCTCCCAGGCGGCATGGGCAGCTGGGTGTGCTTTGTCAGGCACCAGCACACCAAGGAGCACTCTTCTGCTAAAACTTGTTATTAGAGGAGACACTTTCATCCCATCTTCCTGTGTGATATTCTGAAGATGTTTCTGTCAATTCTGAGGGACTTTGTATATCGCTGCAACAACTGGTTACCATAAACTTTATCCTTGTAAATAAATTTAATTGGTTTTACATATTTTTGGAGAGATATCTTCATAGATATTTGGTGAAATTTCATCATATTGGGAGATGAGGAAATGTTTTCAAGGAACAGGCTGTACAGCTGCTCCTTGAAATAATACTGGTGCTGAAGCTGGCTGTTCTGTGCTGTACGCTATTCTTAAAAGAGCCTGCACTAAGCATCCTTCTGATGTGTATTCACCAAAGACAACATCAGGCACTGAGGTGTGATGACTGATTTGACTACAAGGCCAGGAGGGAGACTTAACAAATTAAGAACCAATCAAATTAGCAAAAGGAACCAAACAAACTTCCACAGTACATGTGAAATGAGGTTAAATGGCAAATGGCTCTTTATTTGAGGTACCTTTTCCCTGTGTGTTCTTCAGTTATTGTATGGTTACTTTCACTGTAAGTCAGTATTATTAGCCTTGCAGTATCTGTTTGAGCAAGTTGGATTCTAGTCAGCCTCCTAAGGCATCAGCAGTACTGCCAAACAGGCTGATTTAAGGATTTGATATTGCGTATGGTGATGTAGGGGCCAGAAGGAGTGTGGAGAGGATACTTGAAATTTGTGTGGGTTTGCAACACTAAGGGAAAGCTCTTTGTGTGTTTGCACGTGTGTGTGTGTCATCTTTTGGTTGACTTGTAAATAAATTAGTTGGGGTGGGAAGCCTTCTTCTCACATCGTGCCCTCAAATGTGATTTCCCCCCAGTACAGCCTCTACTCTCTATCCCTTCTTCTTTTCATTCCTGAGCAAACTTTGGGTTTCTTTTGCTTCTCCTTTCTAGCTGCTGCAGTATCTCGGAAGAAAAAACGGAGAATGGGAACCTATAGCCTGGTTCCCAAGAAAAAGACCAAAGTGTTAAAACAGAGAACAATGATTGAGATGTTTAAGAGCATAACTCATTCCTCTGCAGGTGCCAAGGTAAGGGGAGTGTTGAGCCCACTGGACACGTTTGTTGGCACCATACATGTCCCTTGTCCTGGCATGCCAACCCCATGTATAGGCACAGGAACATGCTGGTTTATTGCAGTCAGCATCTTCTGAGTCTGTATCTTCTCTCTGGCAACAACATCCTGCCCATAGCAGCCTGCTGCTCTGAAAATGGCTTTTTGAGAGTGACTGCTCAGATACCAGCTCTTAAACAAACATTTTACAGTGAATGTTCCCCTTCTGTCCCGTGAGTCCTGTAGAACTGGAGAGATTGCAAGGATGCTCCATGTGGTAACCTTTTTGTTTTGGTGTCCTCAAGGTAACTGTTTAGTGTTGCTGCTTGAGGCTGTACAGCCAACTGGTTACTCAAAAAGGTGTAGAGAGGGACTTGCTCCCAATAAAATTCTGCTTTTGCTGCAACCCATGTCCTGAAGTTTTGGTCTTTGAATTCAAGGAGAACAGTGCTAGGCTTTCACGGAGTTGCATGAAAATCCCTCTGTGATTTAACTTCCCTTTCCATTCCCTAGAAATCTTCTTGCACTCTTGGAGGAGCTGCCCTTCTGTGTTTGGACTAGACTGCAGGGGTCTGTCTGAAGGCTCCTGCTCAGTAGCCCTCCTCACCTTAAAGCCTTGTACAACCATGCCAGTCCGGAATGAATCCTCGTAGCTCCTCACATTGACAGGGTTAGGTAACACACGGCAGTCTCTCAGGCTCTGAAGAGCTCTGAAGGCATTGAAAAGCTTTGGAGGGACATGTAGCCAGCTTTCCCCTGGCAGCTTTAAGGCTCCTAGCACAGGCGATCTGGGATGGGTTCAGCTGCTCTGCCCAATGGATTGATGTTGTCTTTGTGGCTCATGTGCTTGGGCGACTTCCAGAGTGAAAAGGACCTGGGTGATGCCAGCCCTCACATGAACGGGGAAAGCATAGATGTAGACTCTGAAGAGGAAGACTCTGATGAATTGGAAGAGGAGGATGATCATGGAGCAGAACAGGCAGCTGTGTTTCCTGGAGATGATAATAGGACCTCTAAAGACAGCGCATCTGATGCAGACAATGCCAGAAAGGTATTCACATGCCTGCGCAGGACTTGAAGGAGTGGGATGGGCCATTGCTTGTACACGTGCGATAGGAGTGGCACAAGTTGAAGCAATTTCTAGGTTTTCTTAGCTTGCCAGATGGCAGAAAGTGCAGCAGTGGTAGTGAGGCTTTTTGATGACCATTTCCTGCTCCCCATTACACCCATGAGAGTCTCCCCACCTACACCCCAGTTTCAGCTTTACTGCATAAAGTCTGTGGTCCACTATTCAGCAGAACCTCCACCACATTTAGCTGTGGGATTCACTGAGCCAGTAGGAGACATCTTCCTAATCTTGCTTCTAACAGGCTGGTAAAGCGCTCAAATCAGTTTAGTTCATTTTTTTTCTCCAAATCATGATACATAATGTAGATAGGAGGCTGGTTTTGGATAGCCAAGAAAGTTAAGATTTGGTTGGAAAACTTTCTTTTGGGGTCAAATTTCTTTTTCCTATACCATCCCCATGGATGTACCATGACTTGCATTAACAGCCTTGGAGTTCTTGTCCTGGCGATTTTGTTAGTGCATTGGTAGTCTGGGGCTGGGTGCTGAGTGCAGCAGGATGATGGGGGGATGCTCTGCTGGGTGGGGGGCACAGCAGGATGATGGGGGGATGCTCTGCTTTGAGAGACCTGACCTGACTGACTTTCTGTTCTTGGGCAAATGGTGGCTGCAGATTGATGATGGTGAGTCTGAGGAGGAACAAGAGTCTGGAGAGTCTGGCGAGGAAGAGGAAGATGGGGATGAGTCTGACTTGGTAAGCCTGGCTGCTAAATGTGTCTTTCATCCTTTGCCCTGTTGATAATAATTTTCCCTTTGCCCTGCTGCCAGAAAGAAAGAGAGCGAGAGAGCAAAGCTGTGCAGTTTCACATCTCTGACAAAACTCACTCTCTGAAACCACCCACACAGAGTATTGTTTTCCACAAGATGCTTAACCCTGATCTGTGATACAATTTCTTGCTTTCTGATGCTAATTAATGGGCTTTTGTTTGTTGTTTTCAACAAGGTGATGACTGCTTTTAATCATTTGAAAGTTAGTAGAAATATTTAAGGATCCTTAAATTCTTCAGATGCATACTTGTCAAGTGGTAGGAGCCAGCAATGTTTTCTTAACACCCTGAAGCTCTGTACGGCTTTTTGGAGCTCAGGTGGAGTTGTTCACAAACCTACTCGTCCAGCCCATAGCCCAAATTCGGTTTGATCTGACATGCCACCTCATGGCACCAGATGAGCATCTCTTGTCAGGGAGACATACAAATAGCACAGATGCAGACAGACACTCTCCTTAAGAGCTTGTCTCTATAGTGCCAGGGCAAGACTTTACCAGTTGCTGGTGATTTTTAATTTTTTTTTTTACTTTTTTTTTATTTTAGATGTCTGGTGCAGAGAACCTGATGTGTTTTTTTGTTTTTTTTTTTTATTTAAATTGTTGTTCATTGATTGTCTCTGTCCTCCACCCTCCTCTTTACTTAAAAATTTTGCTCCCTTTCCCCACAGCATCTCAAGTTGAGGAGCCAGCATTTAAGGCACCCCAACTCTTCAGTCACCTTGAGAAAATTCTTGGCTTCATTTTCTTGATGTTTTGAGCTGAAGGTAGAAATGACTATACCAAGTGAATTGTTGAGGTTCTTGTTCCTTGTGCTCTGACATTACAGGAGCCAGAGAGGACCAAGGAGCAGGGGCTGTGTAGCCTGCCCCTTTCTTTGGGTAGCTGAGGCCACTCTGTAGTGTTAGCTCAAACCAAGGGTTGAGCTTGCAGTCAAGTCCAAACTCCTAAGTCATATCTCCACATCCTAGACTGTGGTTTTTGCTCTGCTCGTATCTGGTGAGTCAGTCAGTTCCCCAGACAGGGACTGGCTCAAACACAAACCTCTCCCCCACAAGCAGTGTGATGCAATTGGTGTAAGCCACGTGGCGGGGCATAACGGAGCCCACGCTTGGGGACGGTTATCAGGGGCAGCGTAGACACACCGCAGAGCTGCCCTGAAGAGCCAGGGCTCAGCACCACCTTTGCCTGGCTTCACTCACTGTGATAACGAAGCATGGTGCAGCACCAGCTTCCTATGAAGGTAGGGCCTGATCCAGCTGCTGCTCATGCTAGCAGGAGGTTTTCCATAGGCTTTGGTGGGAGATGGATAAGCATCAGGAGTTGACAGTTTTGGTTTGAACGTGAATTTTATGATTGATGCATTGAAGACTGCCTTACGGGGTTGGGGTGCCTGGTTCCCCATTCTGATTGACTTGCAAAACCCACTCCAGACAATTGGAATTTTTTCAACAAAAACCCAACCCTCTTTAGATTTGTATATCTGTCTGAATATTTGCTGCATGATTAGTCCGTGTTACCCTGTACCTTCCTCATGGAGGGGGGGCTGGTCTGCTACTCGAGTTCAATTGACCCGGGTCCATCCCAACCCTGTAAGGTGGCTCTTCAGGTGCAGGGCAGGTTTTTGTGGGCATTTTCTAGCAAGACTGTGGAGCAATGTGAATATTTTAGTTTGAAAAAAACACAATTTTTCTGGGGAGAAGCTAAAAGTGTGCATGTGCCTGCATACTTGCTGTGTGGAGGTGCTCAGCTACTACTGCAATGAGTGTGGTGTAAGAGCCGACGTGGAAGAGAAAGTGAAGCATGCACTATTGAAATGACAGGAAATACACCCACACATGTGCTTGTGTTTCCTTTTTGGCACTATAAAGACATCTTAGCAACACTTGATTTCAAACCCCCAGTCCTTAAGGCCTTTTCGCATAACTCAAGCTGCGAGAAGGCTCGTTCGCATGGGCGCAAGGGGCTGCTGGGACACAGATGCCAACATGCCTTACATGCACGTGGCCTCTCTGGTTATTCAGAGCTCAGAGTCCAGTGTCAAGAAGAAGCTGCTGAAGAGGAAAGGAAAGACGGACAGTCCATGGCTGAAACCCACCCGCAAGAGGAGACGGAGGAATAAAAAGAAACAAGCCAGTGTGCTAGGTAACTAATTGTGTTTTGTTCCTTCACTACACAGAAATTAGCCTTCCAGGTGAAGGGGTGAGGACCTGAGGCCCATGTTCCATGAGCTAGAGGGGTGTGGTTAGATGCAAGAGGGAAAGGAAGAACCACCCCAGAATAATGCTCAGTTGCTTTTTTTGGGTGTTTGTCCAGCTGAATAGAATGTGCAGGTTGTCTCTGCGTATTCTGAAAGCATCAAACATTTGTACTGAGCTACCTCAGGCCCATCTCATGGTGTGGAAGTCATTCAGGTGGTCGTTCTTGTTTGACCTAAGTTACCCAACACTCAAGTTTTCAGTGGCCTTTGTCTTCTGAAAGATGTAGGGGTGGAGAGCCACTGGTGCAGGCTGGATGTGGTACTTCTTTTTCAGGAATGGTAACAACATGGGTATAAAAAAAAGTGGATAGTCTCTGAAGTGAAGGTGTGCCTTCAGCTTCATTATTAAGGTTTCACACATCCGTTGCCATCAAAGGATTTATTCTTCTATGCTTGCTAATTCTTTGCAAACAGGCCATTTTTTAATCAGCAGATTTGTGGTTACTTCTGAGCTGAATGACCATGTTTCAGCCTCTGCTCTGTGCCTGGGGTTTGTCAGTCATCTGGCTTGCTCCTCTTCCTCCCAAGGCAGCTCCTTTCTCAAGATGAAGTAGAGGCCATTAATCTCTTTCAGAGCAAATAACTAATCCTTCATTTCAGATGCAGTCTGGTTTTCTGCCCCTTCCATAAAGGTGGCAGCCAGTCTTCCAGGCTAATGAAAGTCTCTTGGCCAAGCCAGAGTGGGAGAAGCAAACCAGGAGAGAAAGCGAAGCCAAAGGAGTGCGAAGAGATTGACAGTTCCCATGGAGGCTCCGAGGGGCCCCATCGCAATCTCTTCCCAGCAGCAGCTTTGTTCACTTGGAGCCAGAACTTGGCTTTTATGTTTTGCCCCTCCCATTAAGCTGAATGTCACCTGTCTCGTCCTCTTCACGACGTACATGATTAGCCGGTTCGCTCTGCCTGGCCGGTGTGTACCTGGAGCCCTTCGCAGCAGGTCGGAGACAGGAGGATGCACTGAGCCCTGGCTCATCCCTTCCTTGTGCCATTTAAGCTTCTGCTGCCCATGCAGTACAGCAGCAGGCAGATGTGCCTTTCAGAGGCAGAACTTGTCTCATTTATTCTTTTCTTTGTTGTTACCTGTGTAAGTGGAAAATCTGTCTGATCAAACAAGGAATGAAATAAGAGATCAGTCGTGCCATATATGCCCAGATGTTGCATTTTCATAATTCAATGTGCATCTGTACTCATGCCCTCTTTGATAAGTCAGCATACAGCCTGCTCACCTAAACATGGCCCTTACACCCACGTGTGCTTGCACACAATTTAATTTATTTTTTTTTTTTTTTTAGCTGTGTAAATACACTTGTGTTTCCATCTAGGTGCTGAAGCCTATAAACCATCTTTGGGAGGCAGAGAGGGCCCCGGCCAGGAGAACAGCATGGAGTACATGGAGGTGTCCCTGGATTCCCTGGATCTCCGGGTGAAGGGAATCCTCTCCTCGCCGGCGGGAGGTGAGTGGGTCCGGCCGAGCCGAGCGCCTTCGGGCCGAGCCGAGCGCCTTCGGGCCGAGCCGAGCGCCTTCGGGCCGAGCCGAGCGCCTTCGGGCCGAGCCGAGCCCCTTCGGGCTGGGCCGGGTCTTTGTTCCGCCGGGCGCAGGCGGGGCAGCGCGCGGGGGCCCGGCTGCCCCCTGGCGGCTGCGGGTCCGTCCGGGCCGCAGAGCGCCCGCGCGCCGCCGGGACCTGCCGGGGACGGGCTGGCAGGGACTGGGGGGATTGGGATGGGGGTGAGGCGCCCGGCTCGCGTGGAGCTGCGTGGATTGGGAAGAAGCTCAGCCGCGAGTCCAAAATGCTGCCTCAGCCCTTCTGTCCCACTTGGCAGCTCCCCTCCGTTCCGTGAAGGATACTGATGTATAGTGATTTATACTGATTTATACTGGTGTAGTGTCGCCCCACGCCGCTGCCCCCCAAGGATCCTGTTGTTCAGCCCCGGGCTGAGGCGGCACTAGCGTGGGTTCCTGGGTGCTCAGCCCCAGCCGCTGTTCCCAGTGCTGAACCCGCCTCGGATCCCGCGCCTCCTGGCTGACCTGGATCCGGCCGTCTGTCCCCGGCCACTCTTGCACTTTCAAAGGTTGTCTGGCTCTTTTGATAGAGGCACATCAAAGAGCAGGTGGGAGTGTTCACCACCAACGGAGGGTCAGGATGGACGAGGGGTGCTTTCACCAGAGCCTCTGGATTTTAAAAAGATTATGAAAGGGACTGTTTGGAAGGCGAGTCAGGAACTTTGTGCTTGTGGTCCTAGAGAAAGCTCTTAAACCTTTTCAGATCTTGACAGGATTTTACGTGAAAACTGCAAGGACTTTCCCCCTGCCTGTATGTCTTGAAATATCCCATCCCTTCTCTAGGCTTGGTCTTGCAACTTGTTGGCTAAAGGAAGCTCCTGACAAGATGAAAGGGGCTGATAGGGTTGTAGCCACAGGCAGGGTGCTGCAAGGGCAAGTGCTGCCATTGCCTGGGCAGCTACAGAAGAATCTCCCCCAGGAATTAAGTTAATCTTTGAAATTTTGCAACAAAATAACTCTCCTTTCAAAAGCTTAAAAAACAGCAGCATGCTTCCTTCTCACTGAGACTCAATCCTGTAGCAGGCTTGGGTAGGAGAAGCTTGGGACACTTCAGGGTGAACCAATCCAAAGGCAAATGTTTGAGGGTTTGCCTCTGTAATGAAAACATTGCAAAGAGATGTTACAATGGTGTAAAATTAGAATAGGAGTGTGAGACTAAAAGCAACCCCTTTGTCCTTAGGCCAGTGTTTTGCAATCATGGGTAACCTGGTGATTGAGTTGAATCCAGAGGAGCCACAAGAACATTCGCACTGTGCCCCCATACCTGACGCTGAGCCCCCTCAAAAGCCATTATCCCTGTTTAAATAGGTTTTAAAGTGTTCAGAATCCGAGAGAAAGAGATTAAGAGAAGACAAGAACATTTGAGCATCTTGCTGCTTTTTTTTCCCTGGTTTGTTCTCTTTCCAAAATAAATAATTCTTGGTTGGCTGAGACCAAATAGTCCCAGGAATTGTGTTTTCCCATCTGTGTAATAAGCCTCTGCAAATAGAAGTTTGTGCTTTCATGATCTTCTCTATTTATCACTCCACTAACTATTCAAGTTTCCAACTCCGGGTGGTTTCCTACAAATTTTCTGGTGCCAGAGCAGAGTGGTGTGGGACAGGTGGGGAGGGGAGACTGTCTGATAAAAATCTGTTTCTCATTGTTGCTATTCCTTGTTGAGGTTTTCTCAGAGTAAACTGTTCTTAATTTATGCTTGATTTCAGTACAGTCATCTGTACTGTGGCTGGACTTAGAAAAGTACAGGATGCTTTTTCATACTCCTACTGGTGTAAGAAAGGGGTCTTTTCTACAGGGTTTGGATAATGCCATGAAAGCATTTCAGGACACGGAATGGAAAGATGCCACAGGACATGGGTGGTGTTGATGGACTGCGTCCTTTCTCCTGGAAGAGAATTTCAGAGTTGATTTACTGGTCTTCTGTACTCCAGGTCTTTCCAATGGTCCTGAAGCAATGGAAGTAGATGGTCTCCAGGAAGTCCCCCTCTGTAGCTGTCGAATGGAAACCCCCAAAAGCAGAGAGATCACCACGCTAGCCAACAACCAGTGCATGGCCACGGAGAGCGTGGATAACGAGGTAGGAGCCTGTCTTTCAGCTTCTCGCAGACTTTTCTGCTGAGGACAAAGACATAAAGAATAAAAAGCTGTGCCAGGAACATGTGTCGGGTCACACAGGATCTCTGCCACCTGCTTGGCTGGGAACCCGCTGGTGTGCAGGAGTGGAAGGGCAAACACCTTGCTCGCTAAGCTGAGGGCTCCAGCGCTCCGCGCGTATTGCACAGGCGGGTTGAAGCCATGCGGAAGGGAGGAGGTGGCGTGGTCTGCAGTGGGAGAGGCTCTGGGTGGATCTCTCCTGCTTATCCCGGCCTGCCTGGCTGGATCAAGTTGATGTAACAGACACACTTCAGGCCAAGTGGGCTAAAATACATTAGCATGCATCAAAGTGAGAAAATCCAATCAGAGGAAGCTTGGAGCTGGTTTCCCTTGACTACGAAGGCGCTGATGCAAACCTTTCTGTAGCCAGCTCTTGAATTTCGGGAACTTGGCATGCCCTCCGCCGGCTCAGTCTGCCCCAGCCTTCCTCTCCTCCTCCCCCAAGAGGCTTCTGTTACAAAGCTTCCTATGTCCTGGCAACCCTGCGCAGCCTGCAGGTCTGGCTGACTGAAAACGATTGCACTCGATGCCTTTCAGTCGATCACAGCTGGGCTAGTTGGGCTCTACTGGTTCGGGAAGTGTGGAAGTAAGTGGCAGAAGTGTCTCACTCTGAGCCTGGAAAGTGAGACTGCAGGACAGGAATACGCTTGGTAGATCCTCCTTTTCCTGGGAGACACTTGGGTTTCTCTTAAGCTTCAGCTGAGCCGCAGCCATGCTGCAGCGCTCTGATACTTGCTGGTGGTAGGACAAGGAGTGAGAGTGTCCCTTGTTCCCCTGTGGGATCCCAGGAGAAGGGTGGATGGAGGGAGAAAGGGAGAATCAGATTTGCAGCCCAGCTCTGCTTCTTTAGTGAATGCTGGTACCTATAGAGAGAGGAAATTCCAAAGCATGGCAAAATTGATTCATTAAAGAGAGAACGCCCTGGAGACTTATAGGAGAGAGGGGGATCCCGGGGTTTCTAAATAAAGGAAAGGTATATGAAAGAGGTGCTTCTTGTGTATATGATGGTTTGACAGTACTGTCCCTGGAGAAATCTGAGAGAGGAATAGCAAAGGCCATGCTTTAGGTTAGATTCTTTTTCATAATGGGATAAGTGACTTACAGATGTTTTAAGAATCCTGTATGTGTGAACAGTAGGTTCTCCAGACTGTCATGTCCTTGGAGAATGTTATAAATTGTTATGAGCACCCTGCTGCACTCTAATGGTTGGAAAATAGCAATTAATAATTTCATACTTTTTTGGAGTTTCTAACAAATCATACAGTGTGACATAATAATGCAGGGATTTCCTCACATGGACAGTGCAGCTTTTCACAGGTTAATCAAATTTCCTCAGCTCATAAGTAAAAGTCAGTGCAGTGGTCCTCCCCTGCCACCCCTGCAGCCCCTGGGGTCTGTATGTTAACCGTCATCAGTCTAACCAAGGTGTCACGACCACAGGTAGACTTGCAGCTGGAATTTGGGTAAGTTGAATCAGAGATGCCAGGGGTGAATGATGAGCCTAGGTTAAAATCCATTCTCTTTTTCTGTAAGGGTGTTGATTCTGCAGGAGAAGTGTAGTTTAAAAAAATTAGAGAGAAATTATAGTTTTGTTGAGAAAAAGCAGCAAATCAAACCTCAGCTAGACCAGAGGGACAGTCTGTTGGTGATGAGCAGGCACCGTGTTCCTAACTGACTCCTCTGCTCATGGTGGCAGCGCACAGTGAACCATGCACAGGTTTCGGTAGGGATATTTCCTTGTAGCAGCCTTTCATGTTTATACTTGTAGTTCATAAATGTCCTTTGCCAAGCATCTGGGGAGAGCAAGGTTATTATCAAGAGGAACTTACAGAACCCAAACAGTGTCGCGTCGTGGTAGCAGGTGGCAACTGGGATGTGAAAATGTCGTAGAAGTATGAATGGGGGCAGCAGCAGGAAGCGCTGATCCTTCTGATGCAGCAGAGTGAGTAACACTGATTGGGAAAAGTGAACCCCAATTACGGAGCATGCTGGCATTAACAGAACAACCTGAGAAGACAGCTTTTTAAGCCCAGAGCTGTACATGGGTGAAATCCTTCAGAAAACATGCTCAAAATGTGACTTCAGCTGCACTCTCGTGAAAGCCTGGCTGTTCATCCCTGTGGTCTGGGCAGGGGCCAGTGCTGGAACCAGTACAGACTATAACTTCGCTGGCAATGAAGAGCAATTATTTTTCCCTTTGTCTTCCTGTGACTTATACTTTTGAACAGTAACAAGATTTAGTGCGTATGGTCTTGTTCTCTTGGTCACTGACACCCGCTCTTCCTGTCAAAAGGAGAGCTCATGTTGTGTGAGTCAGGCCCATGGGACTGCCCCTTCTGCCGCTGCTTGGCTGTTGCGTATTTCCCGTTACTTTTTTTTTTTTTTTTTTCTTGCAAGGAACAAACGACTTGGGGTCCACATGCATGTTAGTTAGTAAATGATGCATTTCTTCCTGTGAGAGCAGCTTTCACAGCTTCCTGCTGCACTGCTAATGCTATCTGGCACACATCTGAATTACTGTGAAAAAGCCAGGGCTCATCAAGGCAGTGTGCAAAATCTTCCTCCGCACAAGCACAGAGAGTGTTTTGGTCTCCAGTAATTTCATTTCCTTTAATTTCTCCTGTTCCAGCTGGGCCGATGCACAAACAGTGTGGTTAAGTATGAACTGATGCGCCCGTCTAACAAAGTCCAGCTTTTGGTGCTGTGTGAGGACCATAGAGGGAGGATGGTGAAACACCAGTGTTGCCCTGGCTGTGGATACTTTTGCACTGCAGTAAGTCCGTGCTCTCAATCTAGGGAAGGGGGTACCTGTTGCAGTAGCTGGAAGAGCTGAAGGTGGAGTTGGTACCTAAAGGGGTTTACTGACTTCCTGGCAGCAGCTCCACCTCGTTCCACAGCACATCAGGTGGTGTTTTCAACAGGAATGTGTGTGAGGGTAGCCACAGTTGTCACCTTTGTCTTCCTGGAGACCCCAAAGGGTGTTACTGAAGGGTTTTCTCTGGGATTTCACACGGTGGAAGTCTTGCCTTAGGAATTTCTTTGGAACAAGGGTTTTGTTTTCTTTCTCTATACAGATCAATCGCATCAAAAACTGTATTAGCTCGGTTTGTAAATGAATCTCTGTACACACCTCTGTGTCCCCCCGCCTGCTCGTGATGGTTTAGATGGGGAACCTGAGTGATGGCAATGGAACAAGGCAGTGTTTGAGATCTCCTGCTGCTTCTTCCACCTCTGCCACTGAGGCTTTTAGTAGCATTGGTCCAGTCCTTTAAGTCATCAGCGTCCTGGTTTGCCTGTTGGTAAAGCTGAAGAACACCAATTGAGGGCCTCACAGGGTGATGAGAAGGTTTAATTGTCTGATGCTAGTGTTCTTCAAGATGACTCAATGAAAGATGCTACAGTAGTCTCAAGCAGTATAAATGGAGCCATCTTGGATTTTCATGCTGAGTCAAAGATCACTTAAAAGATAAAATCCTCAAAACCCTTAAAGGCATTTTGCAAATCTGAGATAATTAGATTGGTTAGGAGGACCGTGAATTCAGGAGAAGAGTGGGTTTTAACTAGCCTTACATGCCTTACATGCTTGTACATCTCTCAGTGACATGTCATAGTTCACTCAGGTGAGCCTGGGAGCGTTTGTGCTATCCATCACTAATAACACAGAGCACAGTAGAGCTTCAGGTAGCATTAATATTACAGGGCAGTGAGGTCTGGGGTACCTTCAGTGCAGTTTGAAGGACTTTGCTGGAAAGGGAAAATAATTTTAAGGAAAGTTGCCCAGGTTTGCTGAATGAGCAGTCAGGCAGGTTACTGGGGTTAAGTGGCATGCGGGGCTGGTCCAAGCAGAGACATTACGTACTTCAGGTTACATTGGGGTTAACAGCTGATTTAATTATATTCACAAAGGTCCTTGAATGGTTTGTGTGCAGCTTTGTTAGATAGTTTTAATGCTGGCTCAGCATACAGGTCTGAAGTTTTCTTTTCCAGTTTTGGGGGTGTCCTTACAGTACACTGGCACTTCTAGAAACATAAGCAAGAACTTGAAGCGTTAGAGGAAAGAGCTGGAAATTGGGACGCTTTCTGGTTCTGTTTCCCAAGCACAATTGAAAAAAACTTGCTTTGCAGTCCCTAACCAAGTGAGTTTTTTCCCTGTTACCTTGGTTTTGTTCTCTTCTAAAGAAGTGGCAGTGCTTGCTTACTGTATTGGAAGCGCCAGGGACAAGAGTGGTGATGAATGAAGTATTTAAGAGATCCGCGGATGAAGCATGTAGAAGGGGTAAGGCACGTAGTGACCAAGGTGTGAATTTATTCTCTGTGGTTTTTTTAGGGCACCTTCATGGAGTGTCAGCCGGAGAGCAGCATCTCCCACCGTTTCCACAAGAACTGTGCCTCCCAAGTCAATGACATGAGCTACTGCCCACACTGCGGGGAAGAGGCCTCCAAGGCAAAGGAGGTGACAATAGCAAAAGCAGACACAACCTCGACGGTGTCACTGACCTATGAGCAGCAGAAACCAGCGGCTGTGGAGGGAAGGGCCGACACCACGACGGGGAGGTGAGCTTGGGAGCACGCAGTGAGCTCAGACCTCATGCCAGACCGTGCTTTGCATCTGAATGCTTGTGCTCCTCCCGATGGAGCAAAGCGCTTTGTGGTCCTGCTCTGAGAAGCCAAACTCAGCTGCAGGAATCTACAAGTGTGTTTTGTGTTGCTCACTGCGTTGGAGAAGAGCGCAGCAGCCCCAGGGTGAGCTGGGGCAAAGGCTATGAAGACAGGAGGAGAGCGGTTCAGGAGTTAAAACTATTCCTTCCTCTTATTGTTAGGTATGGAATAATTGTGGAAGGAGTTGATGTTGCCAAGTCTGCTAAGTGACAGGGAAATTCATGCTGTACCCAGCTGTAGCTCCTGACTTGCACCAATAGACACAAGTATAAAGAGAGGATGAAAACACAGAGGAAAACACAAATCAAGCCATCCTTGTGTTGAACAGTGCTCTGGCTTCCTGTCCGATCCTAACTTGTTCTGGTGGCTTTTCTGACTTGCCCTGTGTTCCTGGGATTCCTGTAGCACGGGATACATCAAAATGCAATCATAGGGCAGTGCAACTCCTTTTTGGGGCAAGTGCTTACCGAAAAGGCTGTAAAAGATGCTGGTTTGCGTTTCAATTTAATGTAAGCTTATCTGTATTTAAAATCAATTTCTTTTTCTTCTTTGGCATAAGATATACACTGTTGTGTATTTTTAATGGTTGTGCTTTGGCGCTCTCTCATTTTTTCTCTTCAGTGGCGCTGGGACGCGGTTGTCAGAGGAAGACAAGCCAGAAAGTTCAGCTGCTGAGGGGTTTGACATGGCTGGCTCTTCAGTTTTCCCAAAGCCTAGTACTAGCCTGACCCAGGGACCAGTTAAAGAAACTCTGGAAAGTGCCCTGATTGCCCTGGACTCCGAAAAGTAAGAAGACCACCACTGGGTCTCTCCAGTTCCCAGCAAAGTTGCCTAACCTAGAGAAAACTGAGATTTAGCTTCTCTGGATTTTGACCCCACTGAGACCTTTTTTGTTCACTTCAGTCATTTGTCACCCCCAATAGATGACTGATTGAAGAGAACAGTTAGCTCTGAATGTCTTATTGATTTGTCTGGAGGATTTCGTTTTTCACTGTCCCTCCAACTGCAGCTGTAACTACTAGGAGTTGCCGTTTAGAGTGGGAAGACCCAGAATTTCTTAATGAGCAGCACTGAATAGATATGGCCCTCATTAGAACGAGGCTGTCTGTGGTTGGAGATGGAAGTTTTAAATCGTTGTTCTGATGACTTGTTCTTGTGTTTTGCTGGCACCCTGGAGCTGTACCATAGGAACAGACTTTGTCATGCACATGGGGTGGCAGTGGGGTGGGGTGAAATGCCAGGAGTGTTCTTCAGTGAGTATTAATTATACCTCTTTTCCCCACGCCTGCAGACCCAAGAAGTTACGGTTCCATCCAAAGCAGTTGTACTTCTCCGCAAGGCAAGGAGAGCTGCAAAAAGTCCTGCTTATGTTGGGTAGGTTGCTCCTTCCCAGGACATTGTGTGTCTGGCAGTACTCCCAGCTCCTGCCAGGCAGCTGCCAGAGTCCAGTTCCCAGCATGGCAGCACGTCATATTCCCCACTGCCCCTTGTGAGTGGAGTTGGAGGAGAAAGCCACTTTTGCAAGTGATGTGTCATTGGAAATGGCTTCATCTTTCTGTGAAATGTGGGCCTGCTCCCAACTTGTTTCTGCATTTGGGTACAGTTTTATCCAGAGAAGCTGTTTCTCTGTCCAAATGAGCTACATGTGATTTTTCCAGTCTGACAGAACTCTTTCTCTCCATGCACTGGGTTAGTTAGGTATTTGTATCCAGCAGAGAGGTAAAAAGATGGGAGTCAGCATAAGCAAGAGAGCAGAAAGAAAGAGCCCTTCAAAACACAGGGTTTGTTTGGGGGGTACATAGTTGTCTGTCACCAAATGACTTTGAGCTGCTGAGCTTGTTTTTACCAACAAATATTCTCGAGGAATATCCCCCTTTGAAGGACACAGTGTTTCCATGGGATCATTTCCTTTCCACACCAGTACTTTGCAGTACATTTTTGGATGCTTTCCGTTCTTTTCATTTATCAGATTCTTCTTTTTTTTGTCTAGCAAGCGTTAGCTTCATTGTTCATGCCTTCAATAGCACAAAAATGTTATTCATTGATATTTAACTACGGCTTCATCATATGCAACATGTTATCATGCCCAGACATCTTTGTCTGGCTGTCATCATCATCTGTCAGTCTTTGCACAGCTGTGAGAATCTCTGGCCAGATCCTGAGCTTGTGTTAGTTGGAGAAGCTTCACCCACTTTGTAGCCCTGTGTTTGCAGGGATGCGATGGGGATCACTAATATTAATTGCAGTTAATACTGGTGAAACAAAAAGGCTAGGTAGTACTGACTCTTTGTTGTTTCCAACTTCTGTGTTGGATTAAATTCTTTGATTAAAGCTGCATTTTTTTTTTCTTTTTATCCTTGTGTAGCATTTGCTGGTTTTGTTGCACTGAGAGATGATGAATTGTGAATCTGAGGGAGATGGCCTATGTAGAAATTGTAATGCCTTAAAGATATTAAATTCCATGGTGTTTCTGAAGCTCTTGGTTTGAGGGCAGTTGCGTATCAAATGTCCACGGGACTACCCTCAGAGCTTTCTGGCTTGGATGTGTAGTGAGTCATGAGAAGGGCTGAGGATGGGCTGAGAACCCGTCCTTTAAAAGCCTTTAGTTGAGACCTGGTTCTTCTGTTACACTTCTCTCTAATCTCTAAATTGTGGTTGAAAGCATCTCTGCTCTGTTTTTCAGTGGATGGAATTGACCCTAATTTTAAAATGGAGCATCAGAGTAAGAGAACCCCTCTCCATGCTGCTGCTGAGTCTGGCCATGTGGACATCTGCCATATGCTGATTCAGGTCTGTCTCCGCTTATATTCTTCTGTACAAGCAATTTTCTGTGTTTTTTGGTCTCCTGCCCCACATGGCTAAAGCACATTTGGAAATCAGCACTGAAACATCCCTCCTATAAAATCCCCCTCGTTCTCAGGGTTTGCTAAGGGAGGAGTGGTGGGGACTACCGTGAGGTCTTAGAGGGTGTGACTGAAGCTGTCTTTCTCGGCTGTTCTCCAAGCAAGCTTCACTGTCTGGGCAATGAGTGTGTGCAGCTTCGATGTAGGGCGCTGCGGATCGTGTGGGAACCCGTGGGGCCAAGCACAGGCAGCAGAGCAGTGCCCTGCCAGATGTGCCGGCACGGGCTGACCGCTGGCACGTGCCGGGTGAGCTCGGGCTGCTGCCAAGTTGCTCTTTGTAACGAAGACAGGTAGGCTCTGGAGCCTGGAAGCTAGCAGACCCTGTCTTCCCTTCTGTCAAAACCTGAGTAACTCCACCAGGATTTTCCTCTACGGTGTAAATGTCCTGCATGTGAAAAGGAGAGAAGGAAAGGTGCAAGTTTGGCTTATTGTGTAAGATTTGGATTCTAATTGAGGGAAGATGGTCAAAGACATAGGGGTGCTCTTGTTGAACCTGCTCCAAAATGATGTGAAGAAAACGAAGGATTTAAAAAGTTATAATTGTTCTTTTTTGTACTGGCGTATGTCATCTGGAGTGACTGGAAGTATGTTTTGTTTACCCTGTGTGACTGGGAAACCTTAAAGGGCTTTTGAGAAAGCAGCAATGCCATGTCTTTGAAAATGAGCCTGCTGGGATGCTGCAGTTCAGCATCTGGAATAAGAGGCTTTCAAAGTGGTGTTTGAAGATGCAGCTATGGGCCTACCCTGCTGCTCTCACTCACTTAAGTTACTGCACATCAAGACAGTGGAATGACTCGTGTGAGTAAAAGCAGCAAAATCCGTGAGATATTACAAACAGTTTGAACTGAGTATCAGTAGGGTTGATTTGTTTCCAAAATCCTTCATCTTCTTGTCTTTTCCCTGATGTCTGGCTACTGCAGTAGCACAGTATTTGGCTGGGAATGTCCCCAGCTTGTAAAACTTGAAATGCCTCTTCTCTGGTCTGGTTTAAATAGCTCCAGCTATTTAAAAGTAATCAAAACAAATACGTTCAGTGGGAGGCACCTGGAAGCAATGGGGCCAACTTCTTGTGCCAGGTGAACCTGAGTCAGCATGTCGCTGCTGTAAACAGGTCTGTGCTTCACGCATAGGTATGCATGCGTGGCCTGCCAAGAATTGTGCTGTCTCTGAGATTTTCTTTTGATTTTAAATATGGGGTGGGTTACTGAGCTAAGTCAAAGAGTTAAAGCAAGCAAGATACATGACACAGTAGTGTTTTGGGAAAGAGTAAGTTTTCGGTCCAAGACACTCCATGTTGAACTGAACATATGCTCAGAGACCTCTGTAGAAATGTTACCATTGACTTCAACAGGAATAGTTAGCCCACCTCCAGGCTGTTCTTTTATTTCTCCTACCTCTGTTGCAATCAGCAAATTGTTCCTACTGCTTGTGACATTGGGAAGAGCTCATTGTTTTGTTCATTGTGTCCGTAGAAATGATAGAGCAGGGAGAACCAAGCTGCTGGAAAAAGGAGAAGGTTGATTTTTCCAAACTGATACACAAACAATATCTAGAAAGTAGCAGTACAAAATCCATTAATAACAAGAGTTATTGAATACCAGCTGTTGACTTCCTTATGCCCTGGTTGCTGGCTGTAGAAGATAGGAATGGGGGGCAGACAGTATGTGCTGTTTTCTAAAACAGGTGAAGTGGGACTGCCTTCTTTCCTGTTTTTATTTTTTTTTTTTTTTCCCTGATTAATATGGCTAAATTTCAGGAAAAAACTTGCTATTAAATCTCTACTCCCACATCCTTCCTCTGCTAACCAATAATGATTATAGCTGTCCTTGTGTTTGCCTTGGCCTCTTAACAGGCTGGTGCTAATATAGACACCTGCTCTGAAGACCAGAGGACCCCACTGATGGAAGCAGCAGAAAACAACCATCTGGAAACTGTGAAATACCTTATCAAGGCTGGAGCACTAGTAGATCCTAAGGTAGCAGTTTACCCCTTATCCTTTTCTCCTGAAGAAGCCTCTGTCCACCATTTCTGTTTTGATACGTTTTAAGTCTTGGGTGGAAGGGTGCAGGCAGAGGGGGAATGGACTTGCTTGTCTTGGGCACGAAGGCTTGGCAAGGCTGTGCTTGTTGGTAGTATTATTTTAATGGTGCAGTGTCCTGGCTGTGAGCAGTCTGGGGCAAGTGCTACCACTTGCCACATTAATTTGTGGCATCAAATGTAGGGGTATTTGATTTCACATAGGGCCACTAAGTATTAATGTCACAAATCCATTGCAGTAAATGTGAAGCTTGATTTCAGAGTTTCCTTCTGTATAGACTCTAATAATGAGAATTTTGGGGTGACATTTTAAAATGGGCTGGTAATTAAGTGCTTACCAAGCCAGCAAAAATGACAGAGGACGCTTCGCTTTCCAAAGGACTGATGTGTGGTTTCTTGCAGTCATGCTGCAGTGGCAAAATTGGACCCCTTCTTTAAACTCTACCCTTTAATTTAAACAAACACAATAAAATGCAGCTGTCTATTTGACTTTAGCATACTCTGGTTGCTTTGCAATCTTGGAAAAGATACAGATCGTTTATTAGTCCCATAAATCAGATGCTATTTGGAGCACAGGAACCCTCCCCACATCAGCTTCTTATTGTTACAACCTGCTGCTGTTGGTGCGCTCCTGTGCTATTGCTGGGGAGTACGGCAGGGCTGGGATGCTCTTTTTGTGAAGGAGCTGGCAGGGCCAGGAAGTTTGCACAAGATACCAAGTGCTGCCTACCCTGAGCCTTAAACAGAACCTTGGGAGCCTGGTTCTGAGCGGGGAAGGGAGAAGGGACAGGACAGACACATGGGTTCATGCTGGCCACTGTCCCAAGTGTCTTGGAGCAACCCAGGCACCTCTCACCTGATTTATGCTGGTGGGAGAGAAAAGAGGGGTTTTTTGCTTCTAAAGGTAAAGGGGAGGAAAAAAACCCTGAGCTTGCAAAAGCAAATTAGAAGCCTGAGATCACGTCTGAAGTCTAGACTAGTTTATTATGTTAATTAGTTTCTTGCACCAAATTAGTCATCTTTTTGAAAGCAGCAACATTGCAGTTTAAAATCAGCTCCAGCCATTTCGATGAGAAATCTGGACATTAACTGCTGCGGGTGTGTGCTGAGCCTGCCCAGCCTGGTCCCGGGGGCCTGCCTGGTGGAGGGGATGCTGAGGACAGTCGTGGGATGGGTGGGGACTTCTCAGACCCCAGGGCAAAGCTGTTGATCCTGTTAATAGGACATAAAAGCCCCACTCAAAACCTGCAGAAACTTTATATTAAAATATGTCTGCTCTCCATAAGGTTGAGAAGCTGCACTTGGCTCATGCTCTTCTAAGAGGACAGCTGTGGCATTATTCAGATGTGGCAGGCACTTAAGGGGATGTAGAAATCCTTTCTTTACCCCAAGAAGCCTACACAGTGTAACCCCTGACCCAAGATGTCCCATCCTTGCTTGGAGGGTTCCTCCCTAGCCCTGCACCATGTTCTCTGCTCAGCTCCATGCGAAAGCTCTTGCCTCCGATGTTGCTTTGAGGGGTTTAGCTGGAAACAGTCATTTTGGTTTTCAGTCTTTCGTTTCCTCCTCATTTCCTGGTGTCTGGGCCTCGATATGTGCTAAGCTCTTGAGATATAAACGGCTGATAAAAATCAGGCTCCAGCCACTGAGATCTTTAGTGTTAGTGTGGGAGTGTCTCCGTCATGACTCACAGCCTGTCCATCTCCTCCAGACCCTATTCTCAGCTCCCAAAGGCAGTTTTTCTTTCAATCTTCATGGTTGTTTTTTATCTCCTATCTCAGCAGACAGCTGCGGGCACGCTGGGGTCTTGGTCTCTCAGGAGGCTTCTAGCCCCAGTGCGGGACACCCCCTTGCCCTGCTGGCAGGTGCTGGGATAAGGCCTTGTGCTAATAAAACAAAGCAAAAAAGCTATAACTGGAGCATTTCAGATTGAGACAAGGCTACTTTTCTGGTGTAAAGTGCAAGCTCTGCCTCTGCAAGGGACTTCTGCCTCCCCTTGGCTCTCCAGCACATGGAGGAGAGTTGGAGAGGGTCTGCTGGGGAAGGGGAGCATCAGTCTGCCAGGGTTTGGGGCTGGTACCTTCCCTAGGCTTTGCAAAAGCATTTCTTCCCATAGCTCTTGCACTCTCAGCCTCTTACTCTGCATGGGTTGTACTTCTGAGCTTTGAGTAAAGCTCCCTCTGCACAGTGCTGGTGTTGGTTGCTGCTGCTCTCTCCTCTCCTGGCAGCAGGCTGGGGGCTTTTGGAGACCTCTGCTCTGTCTCTGAACTTCTCTGGTGTTCCTAAGCATCATTGGTGTCATGCAGACATGGTAAATGCTGGGAAGGGATGTGCCCTGAGTGCTTGTTCTGTGGTTATGTCCAGGATGCGGAGGGCTCCACATGTCTGCACTTGGCTGCCAAGAAGGGGCACTACGACGTTGTTCAGTACCTCCTCTCCAACGGGAAGATGGATGTCAACTGCCAGGTGAGGCCTTTCTGTGAGGGGCAGAAGCTGGTTTTTCTCAGGTCAGGGACCCAAGTCTCTGCAGCGTGCTGTGTGCTCAGTGGTTACTCAGATACAGTTCTGCTGCTGGAGGGCACCTGAAAAACATTATAGGGTGACAGTGCCATGGACATCCTAGTCTACCAGAGAAGGTGATCCCTTCCACTGGCCTCACGGAAACTTTCCTTCTATGTGCTTCAATTTGCAGTTTCTCCTTAAGTCCGAATTTCCTGGTGGAGCCTGTTGCTCAGGGATGTCACTGCTCCTAGCAGGGAGTGGTGGGATCATGGACATGCTGTGGGATGGGTAGAGCCTGGCCCTTGCCATTGCAGAACCTAACCATTGCGGTGGGGCGAGGCAGCACTGCATCAGGGCTCCTTGTTTGGGGAAGGCCAGCTCCCCCAGGCTTCTCAGGGAGCTTTTGTAAGAGCTTTTACACGAGCTGGCTGTTCATTGTGCCTGTTGGACAGTCAGCTGTATTTGAACGACCTGGAGATCCATGGCCAGTGTGCTGGGCTGCAAATAAACTCCAGCTTGCTGAAGCATTTTGGTTTGAATCACGCTGGGCTCTGCAGGACCCTGAGGGACCTCTCCCTGCAGCAGCCTAGGCTGAAGGAGAGTGATGAGACAGACGTGGAGAGGGAAGGGGTCTGTGGCTCCCAGGCAGGGTGCACCCTGCTGTGGCTGCCAAGAGGCTTGTGAAGCCAGCAGGAGACTGTCTTGCCCACTCTGTGTGTCTCACCCTTTCCTTTCCCTCCTCAGGATGATGGAGGCTGGACGCCGATGATCTGGGCCACCGAGTACAAGCATATTGAGCTGGTGAAGCTGCTGCTTGCGAAGGGGTCAGACATCAACATCCGCGACAATGTAAGGTTCTTCCTGGGATCTGTTTCAGAAGTTAAACCACAATCTCTGTTTAAAAGCCAAACAAGCCCAAGGAGGCAGTTTCTGAGCTCAGTGCAGGGGGGTGCAGTGGTCCTTGACACAGGTGGTTTGGGGCAGTGAGTAAACGGTGTCTGGTGGGAGAATTTTCCTCCATATTCTGGGAAGAAGTTTACAGGCTGGCAAGAAGTCCTTTTCCTCCAGTTCTTCTGACATAGCCCACAAGGATGCTGTACATAATGCTGCAGGCTGTAGTCAGCTCTTCTGTGCCTTGCTGCTTCTAATCCACCCGGGTCCACCGTGCTGCCACTTAGACACTGCACTGGGCAGATGCCCCTTGAGTCCAGACTTACCCGTTCCACACTGGTCACAGGCCAGTATGCACTGGGGATGGGCTAGGGGCATCCTGCACGCCTTTTGAGGGGCATAAGCTTGTACTCAGGTTTTTCTGGATGGATTGGGCCGACGCTCTGCCAGCACGTATCGTGACCATGGCTTTTCCTAGTCATAACAGGCATGCAGTCACCAATGTGGACAGAGCGTGCCCAGGCTGGCAGCGCAGCATGCTGGAGCTGCCTCTTGGCCTGCTCTTCACTTCCATAAATCCTGCTCGAGTGGGATGTTCTCTGTACTTGAGTCCCTGGGAGCTCCGTGGGCCCAGCAGCGCTGTGAGTTGGGCTGCGCCAGCTGATTTCACAGGGATTTTCATGTAAACAGAGAAGATACAAGGGAGATGCTGTCTCCTTTTTTCCCCAGTCATCCAGGTTTCTGTTTAGGGGACTCATTATAACAGCACTGCTGCTTTTTTTCTTAACAGTATGTTTCTCATTTTTTCCTTTCTGTCTCTACTTCTGAAACCCCAGAAGTACCTGTAAGGCAAGCTTTGGTGTGAACTGGGGTGCAATGAGCTACTCCAGGCTTTGACCTGCAGATGTCAGATAGTTTGATAAATAAAGAGTAACTGGCTTCACTGCTTTCTACACAGAGTTGTTACAGTGAAGTACCTACCCCACCATCAAGTCACACTCTAGCATGCCTCATGGCAGCATATTTTCTTGTCTAAGGCTCCTTGTGATTTTTAATCCAAGGGCTCTAAGTAGCTGGTTTGTATTTGTCTCCCTAAATGCCCCATTTTGTGTCTTGGGAGCGAGCAGGGGTAGGTGTTGGCATGCTTGTCTCATGGGGCCCAGAAAGATCCAGCTGTTCCCAAGTTGCCATCCCCAGTCTGAAAGCCCCTTCTTGGTAGGAGCCTTTATTTCCGTGGTAGTTTAAATAGTTCCCAGGCGGGCCCAGATCCGATACTGTTCCTAAAAGCAAAAGTCAAGGCGAGAGAGGGGGCTTTTTGGGTTGTTACATTGCTTCAGGGCCCCGGTGCTGAGTCCAAAAATTGACTTGTTTGGTCTGTCACAGAAGCCTTTTGGCTACCAGTTACAAGATCACCCATTAAACGGTGAAATCAGATCGGCTCAGTCAACAATTTACTTGAAGGAAAAATATCCTCTTAGCAGATGTGTGCATCACGTATCCGTTACTGTACCTAAGTTGGGTGTCTCCTGATTGCAGTCATTAAGAAGCAATGTCACTTGTGCTGGGAAACATCATACTCCGCGAGAAACGCTTTTGGCTGCGGTGAAGCTGCTGTTAGGCAGTAGCCGACGCAAGGCAGAGCAGCGAGTCTGGGTGTGTGTAACCTGCCTGCGCAGCAGCGTGTGGTGTGCAATTGGCAGGATTAATTTTTTCTGTAGATTGGTATGCGATGTGATTAGGGGTTTTTTGATAGATGTTACCATAATGGGAGGCAGAAACCATACAGGAAAAGGTCTCCTCACTCCCTGGTGTATGTCAATAGCCTCCCCATTTAAGGAAGGATCTAAGTTAATTTGCAATGACTGAAAGACGCGCTTTATTTTTGCTTTAAAAACTAAAAAGAAAAGTTAGGTGATCATTACTATCATGGCACTGTTGTAATCGACATCTTTAGAGCTTGTCATGGGGAAGGGTTCAAAGTGTGCTGCAAATTGCATTGTAACAGAAAACAGAGTATCATCGCTTAAAATATCTCCATCCAAAAGATGAGTGTTCAGCTATTTCTAGTGCTGCTAGTGAGAGATGAGTACATCCAGTATTTAAGAGATGCCTGAAGTCGGATTGATTGCTTTCCCTGTGGCTCGTGGTTCACTTTCTAGCACCTTCATATACCCTATAGCTTGTGCTGTGCTCTTTTTCTCTTTAATTTTGTAGCACTGGGAGACATGCTAGCTTTCCTGTCTGTCTGGGCTGGGAAAGCTCAGCTTCTAGCCTTTTCCAGCACGTTTGTTCATGTCTGTCACCTCTCTCGTGGATTGATCCAGATTGTTTTGTGCCTTAGAGACAGACGATTTGCCTGCGTGTATGAGGAAGGCGATGGACCGCTTTGTGTGCAGCCTCCCCATCTTTGGTGTGCGGAGGCGGCTGGAGTGAGAACTCCCTGTTTGTCTGTGCAGAGATTTCCCTGCCCGCCCCGGCAGTCCCAACCAGAAGGAGCAATGTAGGGAAGGAGACTGCAAGCCACATGTTGCATGCTGCAGGTGTAGAGCTAAGGATGGTGAAGTCCCAAAGCGATCGGGTTTTAATGCGCTAAACAGCCTCTACTCTGTTGTCTTCCCCTCCAGGAGGAAAATATTTGTTTGCACTGGGCTGCTTTTTCTGGCTGTGTTGACATAGCAGAGATACTGCTGGCTGCTAAGTGTGATTTACATGCAGTGAATATTCACGGAGACTCGCCCCTGCATATTGCAGCCCGAGAGAACCGCTACGAGTGTGTTGTGTAAGTACAGCTCCAGCCCTGCCACTTCTCTTCTTTCCCCTGGTCACTCCTTTCTACCCAGCTGCTGGCTGGCAAGCTCGGGAGATTCTCTGAAATGCTTTTGGCATTGAAGCACAAACCAAAACTGGGATAGCGGGCTTGTTTCTCCGCTGCCCTGCTCCTAGGGGCAGTGGGTCCGAAATAATAGCTGCTGCCAGAGATGGTGGAAAAAAAGGTCAGAAAACGTGGAGTGGTCCTGGAGCCTTGGGCAGAGGGCTTGAGGGGCTGTGCTCGGCCTGGGTTTCCCAGCAGAAAGGTGTCAGGCATCCCTGATGAAAGGTTTGGGGTTTTTTTTCACAACTAGCATGGCATAATATGGTAACAGGGCTTTTCCTTTGTTTCACCACTGCTATGAATAAAGTCATCGTGTGTAGTCACCAAAAGCTGGTGAGTATAAACAAGGGCCAAGTCCAATACCAGTTTTCTGTGGGACTCTTCCATTTCCAGCCTACTCTTCCCACCCCATATCTTTCCCTGTCGGAGAGAGTTTCAAGCCTGTCTGAAGTTGGGCTGGTACCAGCAAGGTACCTGTCATGCCCGAAGCAAGGTGAGGTTTGCCCAGAGCTCCTGTGAGTGCCTAGAGCTCCATTCTGTGGCTTCTGCCAGCGCCTTCGCGTAGAAGGATTCACTGAACCATGCTTAATAAAGAAAACTCAGGTGATTATTCACTACTACAGGCTCTTCCTTGTCCCTTGAGGGCTGGCTGGAGGATGTGATTCAGCTCATTTTCCCCTTGCGCAGTTTCTCTTGGGGGATGCTTATCCTTCCTTGCTGTTTTGCAGTCTCTTTCTTTCCCGTGGTTCGGATGTCACTTTAAAGAACAAGGAGGGTGAGACTCCACTCCAGTGCTCCAGCCTTAACTCTCAGGTCTGGGTGGCCCTACAGATGAACAAGACTCTCAAAGAATCATCTACTGACAAGCCTGCCCAGATAGAGAAGGTCGTGAGCAGGTGAGAGTACGGCTGGCTTTGCTTGTGGCTCTACGAGCCCTTTCACGGGGGAAGGTGGGAGCCTGGTTTAAGAAAGGACTGTAAGTGCATGCTTAGCTTTGTAAACTGGTGTGAAGGGCAGTTTGAGCTTAGTGAGAATTAAGCACATGCTGATTCAGACGGTGGTTTGTAAATTCATTCTCCAAATGGAAATATTCGCAAGCACAAAGAACAATCTGTAAGGCAGGGCGGAAAAAACCCGAACTCTGTTCTAGCCTGAATTGCTTTCAGGCTTTGAATGCTCAGTGATCAAAGACAGTAATTCTGCCCCAGGATGGCATCTGAAGGGCCCCTTGTTCGGGGGAGCTTTTCTTCTGTGACAGTTCTCTTTCTTGCACTAACAGAGACATTGCCCGGGGTTATGAGCGGATCCCGATTCCCTGCGTCAATTCAGTGGACAGCGAGCCTTGTCCTAGCAACTACAAATATGTTTCACAGAACTGCGTCACCTCCCCGATGGACATTGATAGAAACATCACTCATTTACAGGTGAGGGATTGTGTGTCTCCACATGTTTTTTTCCTGTCCTGGTGTGTGCATTCAGAGATGTTGCAGTGCGCACTGCACCTCGGAACAGGTTTTGCATTCAAAATGGGATTGTCTAGTCCTAACATTGCCGTCAAATTCCAGCTAAGGCTGTAGTCCTAAACTCCAGCTCTTGCTCTAGGAGATGGGATCCTGTTTTTCTTCATTTCTGAGACTTAGGCTAACCTCTGCGTTCAGCTGTGTGCTGCAACATCAGCCAGCTGGTGCTGCGTTCAGCTGGTGCTGGCTGATGTGGCTCCCGTTTATCCTTTTCCTCTGTTCTGTATCTGGAGAGTTAGTGAGTTGTTGGGAGACCTTCCTCACGCTGTCTTCCTGCTGACTGCGGCATCCAGGGCGAGGCCTTCACTGTGATCCTGGAAGTTCTCAAAGGGCTGGCTTGTGAAAGCAGAGGTGGGGAAGCGTAGGGTGAGGGTGGCCCCTCTCTGGGCACAGCTCTCCGGTGCCTGACGTGAACTTGCCGTGCCCAAGCCGCGTTGTGCAGCAGCTGGTGGTGGTGGGACTGTGTTGGCTTGGGGAGTGCTGGGGAAGCAGCCAGCTGGAGCACCCATGTGGGAAGAAGCAAGCAGCAGGGGAGGACTGAGACATGGTGTTGCATCATCTCCCAGCTCTGGTCCCTCCTTGGAGCTTTCCTTGTCCTCAAGCGTGGAGTACAGCTCATAGGGCATGGAGGAAGGTTAGTAACGCAGGGGGACATACTCCCATGAGAAATGAAGATGGCTTAGAATAAGATCCCTTCTGCAAGCTGAAGTCCTTTCATGTTCATTGTACGCAGAAATAAATAATGGAGTAAAAATGCCACTGAACCAATGAGGCTGGTTATCTCTCTGGCTAACGAGCTGCAGCAGGGGAAGGTGAAGACTTGGCTCTCCTCTCTGACCCAGTCACAGAAGTTGCTCTTTCAGTTACGTGCGAGTGGTGTGGGGTTAACCCATTTTCTTCTCTTCCAGTATTGCGTATGTATAGACGACTGCTCCTCCAGTAACTGCATGTGTGGCCAACTCAGTATGCGCTGCTGGTATGACAAGGTGAGGACACAGACTCTCCCGTTGGGTTAGACCAGCGTTTGTGAGCTGAACTTTGCACAGTTCAGGGTTTATAATAGTACCTTAAAAACAGTCCCTTGCACAGCTCGTCTACTTTTTGTTTTAAAATGCCTACAGTTGTAGTCTCAGCTTAAAGATGTGTGTGATAATAACAAAATGCATACTCAAAGAAGCTTTTCTAGTGTGATTTATTTGTGTAACTGTCATGCCAACTGAGCCATTAATTATACCCATGTGATAGAGAGCATTTAATAATCCATGCGTGAAATCAGCTTCCATTTCAGAGCAACATAAGAAAAAAAGGCTGTAATATGTAAACAAGGGAAGGGTAATAGAGAGATTTTTTTTTGCCTGCTTTTATTTATTGTGATCCTTCTGGATGAAGGCAAAGTAAAGATGTTTTAACTGCAACATTGCCAGAAGCCTGGTTTATTTTGGGTAAGTATGCTTCAGTCCTCCAGGGAGGTTTTGAGGTTCATATTTGGACAGGTTCTGCTAAGATCAGAAGTTCTGTGAATCTGCAAGTTTCTCCCAGGGGGAATACTGGCACCTTTCTTTGCTTTGTAGCCATTTTATTTACGCATTAATAGGTGATTACATCTTTCAAGCCTTAAAAGCCAAATTTGCTAAATATGATAAACTGCGTCTGTCGCTTCCTTAATCCTGTATGTTTGGTAAATAATTGAATTGTAGCTTTTTTGGAAGTGCTATTTGGGAAGATAATGTGGTGTACTGAGGAACTTGGGTGTACTGGCCTTGTACTCTGGAAGTTTAGGCTTTATTCCAGAGACAGGCTAAGCATCTGCTGCTTCCCTCCAGCACTGCAAAATGATAATAATGATGCTGCACACCAGTTTTTTGCACAGCACTGTAAGAGACCTTTTTTTGGTGGTACATAGGGTGATGTCAGGCAGCAAAAATCTAGGTGGTCTCTTGCTGTTTGTCAGCTGCCAGTGATGGTGGCGAGTGTGCCACTGTCGGGGTGGAGCAAAACCTCTGCAGAAGCTGAGGTCTGACGCTGGTTTTGGGGAGGTTGGGACTCGCTTCCACCTTGGGGTTCTCTGGCCTGTTTTTACATTCGGGGAAATTTCAGCTCTTGGCCTGCCTCTGGTTTGGGGGGGGGTCACAGGAATAGACAGCTAACTTAGTCTTGAATGCTTCTCCTCTCCAGGACGGCCGACTCCTGCCTGAATTCAACATGGCTGAGCCACCGCTGATCTTCGAGTGTAATCACGCGTGCTCGTGCTGGCGAACCTGTAGGAACCGGGTGGTGCAGAATGGGCTCAGGTGAGAAAAAGAATGCAAACGCAGCTTATCTTGGCAAGACTGGCACCAAACTTGTGAGCTTTCTGTCTCTCTAGAGTCTCAGATCACTCATAAACCCACAAAACCCCAGGATTTCCCCAGACGAGACAGAAGCTGGGGCAGGTGCCACCACAGAGCGGTGGGATGCAAGTGGGTTCCTGGGTGCTGCTGGTGGAAATGAAGCAGCAGTGGGTTGATGAGCTCAATTAATAATTGCACCCTGCCCCTGTTGCCATCACGTGGGAACTGTGGCGTTCTTTCATCAGCCTGACCATAAAACATTTAAGTGGCTTGTGGGTTTGCATGAACATCCTAGATGTAACTTCTCAGGTGGTGATCTGTAAAGAAAATAATGGCAACAGAAACTGCAAAGCCTTAATTTGGATCTTGTAAGTTAGCAGACTACATTAGAAATATAGGCCAGCATGCCCAGTCTTAGCTGCTTAAAATTTCCAAGTTATTGGCATGACTCCCCCTGAACTGGGTACCTGAATACCTGTTGGCCTCGGTGCTGCAGATGAGGCCATTAGGATTTTGGTGCCAGGCTAAAAATGTAAAAGTTTTGTTTAGGACCTCTGCTGTGGAGAAGTTTGCCACTGCACTAACTTCGAAGGAATCCCACTGCAAAAAAAGACTTTTGCAAATTTTTTGTAGTACTGACAACACTTTTTTTTGCAAGCTTTATAGTTTCAATGACATTTTGCAATGTTAAAAATAAGTAAGAAAAAAGCTCTATGCGTTTCCACAGAACTTTACCTCTCTCTGGTTTTTCCTGCCAAGCTCCAGAGCTCTGGTGTCTATGTGGGTGTTTATTTAGGAGCTGTACAGCTAGAGCTGTTGCTTTTGCATTTTTGCCTTGCTAGTGTTTTTCTGAAAGGCTGGGAGGGCTGGAAACCCAGCCGGGAGCCTGGGAGAGCGGCTGTGTTGGGAAGCTGGCGGTAAGGTGAGGTGCTTGGCAGAGCTTTGCGTGAGGTCCCTGGGGAGGCAGCGGAGGAAACCTCCTGCGCTTGGGCTGCAGCGCGACACATGGGTGCTCCCGCTCCGCTTTCAGCGCTTCCTTTATCAGATTCGCTCCAAATTAACTCCGCTTGGCAGCACACACGTTTCCATCTGGCAGGCTGACCCAGCTCAGCCGGGAAGCTGAGATTGGAGCCACGGTCCCGCTGCTGCCGGTGTCGGTCCCGACAGCAGAGCTTGAACCTGAGCTTGGCTCTCTGCTCCGCTGTGATGGAGGAGGCAAGACCAGGGGGGAGCTTCCTCAAGCCCGAAATGCAGCGTTATAACTGGTTTCTCTGAGAACGATTGTTCTCATGAAGTCATGTTTTGCCCTGGTGAAGGCTCCAGGGGCTGGGAGCATATACAAAAAAACACACAGCCCTGGTTTGAGCTGACAGTGCAAGAAGGGAATGTGTAGGGGAAGAGAAGTACTGGAAAAAAGCAACAGGGTGAGGTTAAGGTGAGCATCAGATTTCTCTTTATTCCGATAACAGCATTGCTGAGAGTGGGTTTTGCTTCCCTCAGGGACAGAGCAAGCCTTCCCTAGCCCTGGGGACTCTTCATTCTGCACTTAACTCAAGTTCTGGCTGAGCAGGAGGCAGAATGACTTACAGGATTGTTTCTCTGCCTATAAACTTCATCAGTAAAATTCCACAGAGCAGCTATTACACCAAGAAGTTTCAATTTGCAGCGTTTCTTCCTTGTCTTTCAGCCAGGGAGCTGGAGATGATGGAGTTGCTAAATGCACTGGCCTCAGCAGAGGGCAAAGGGATCAGAGCACTTAGCTCAAGGTGTTCTTAATTCACCGTAAGCTCCCTGCCTTCCCCCCGCAGCACCCCTCCCTGCAGGGCTACGCTCACTGCCTTAAGTCCCCTTCCACCTTCCCTGCCTTCCCCTGAGTGCTGGGTGTGTGCCTGGAGGGGAAAAGAAATGCTGGTGGCGGGATTCTGGTGTCCCACGTGTAAATCAACAGTATAACCAAAGAGAGCACCCAGTCCCGTACCGCCTTCCCCATCCCTAGGTGTGCACCCTGCGAGGTGCAGCTGGGCAGGGAGGAAGGCTTGGGGGATGCCTGTCCCTTGTCCCCAGGCAGTTTCCATCGGAGCACCTGCCCACCCGCTCAGAGCAGCCGTGGGAGGGAGCGCGCCCGCGGTGGTGCCAGCGTGAGAACTGGGGGGGTTGAAGGTTGAAATCGTCTTCGAGTTTGTGGCAGGTTGTTGGTTTTTTTGCTCATCTCTCTATGAAAAATTGGTTGTCTTTCTGCAGAGCGCTGCCATTAACGTGGCTTCATGTCTTCTTTTCCAGGACTCGATTGCAGCTTTATCGGACACAAAAGATGGGCTGGGGTGTGCGAACAATGCAAGACATTCCACTGGGAACCTTTGTGTGCGAGTAAGTTATTCAGCTTTCATTAGCTCACGCAAATGTATTGCTTCCCAAGGGCAGGATGGTTTGCTCCTCTTTAAGGAGAGGTTTTCATGCAAATCAAACTGGCATTGAGCCGAGCTGCTTGCCCTCCATCAGAGGTTTCCTGACTCCATTTCCTGCTGTTTGTCCTTCTCCTCATAGTGTGGAGCTTTCTCCACTCCCCTCCGGGATCTGTTCTCAGCTCTTACCCCTCTGAAACACAAGTGATGCGGGAAAAATGCATTTGAGTTGTGCTGCAGATGTCTCGTGTTCATCGTGGATGTGGGACACTTAAGGCCAAGGCAATTTGGAACAACTTCTTTCTATCATGTCTTTTTCTGTTTCAGTACTGACTTCTCAAGAGGTTTTCCAGTGTCACAGCTCTGGCTTTAGTCTGATTCAGCAAAACAGTAAAGCACTTGGTGTTAAGCACATGTTTCGGCCCTGATTCAATAAAGTACTTGAGAACAAAACTGTTCAGACTTACGTCAAGTGAAAAAACTGCAGTCGAACCCCATGGTTTTTAGGCTTTAAAGTAGTATATGTACTTTATTAAATATTTTGGAAAGTGTTTTCTTCATTGCAATGATACAGTGAGTTAAGACCTTCTAAATAAGGCTGGATTCGTGCCCTTCATGGAAATAGATGCTGGGTTTTTTAGAACTAGTTACTGATGTTTTATAGAATTGGGGCTGGGGACTAAGTAAAATTACTGCAGAATTTAAAAGAAATAATAAAGGAAGAGAAAAATCTGCATTGGATTAGCTAAGTATCTCTTCCATGTTAGAAGCTGCCAGATTCTAAGATGTTTTTTTTCAGAGATAAAGCTTGAAACTGCTGTTTGTGGGGAGTGTCTCAAGTCTGTCTTAGGTGAGGCTTCCTGTTAAGTCCCAAAGGTCTTGGAGTCCTCGTTCAGGGCCCAGAGATGGGCCAGAACCTGAAAGTAAACGGCTCCCAAACAAAAATGGCACTGACTTAACCAACTCCTACTGGAACGCTGATATGTGAGAGGAGTAAGCAGTGGTGAACAGGCAGCCCTGCGCAGCGGCGTAATAAACAGACGGGCACATTGTGCGGCACGTCAGAGCTGATGGGGTTCAGATACCACAACCAGCTAACTCTTCCCTCCACCCTTGCCAGGAGGTGCTGACACTGTTTCAGTGGTAGGCGATATCTTCTTCATTATCGAAATGAACTGCATATTAAAAAGCTGAGCTAATTTATGTCCTGCCTGTGCATGTTCCTCCTTGTCCCCATCACTCACACACACACAGGTTATTTATTCAACTCACCGATTTCCAGTTCTTGTCTCCTCTTCAAGCCAGCTGCACCAGTATCCTTCCTGTGAGCCTTTACATGCAACCTGTAGACTTGGTTTCTTCTTTTCCTCCCTGTATTGGCAGTGCTTGGGGGCTGCTTGCACACAGCAGCTCCAAGAATTGGCTCTTTTAGAACAGCATTTTGCATTAAATGTCTGGATTAGAGCCCTGAACGGGTAGGCGCTTTGCACGGGGTTTAGTACTCTGCTTTGGAAGGATGATAATTGCATTGGTGTAAGGATGACTTCTGTTCCATAATTTTTCATGTATACCCGCACGGGGGGCAAATCTGGAATAGTTCTCCCAACGCTTTTATTTTGCAAACTCTGCTGGTCCCGACTGTTAATGCCTTTCTTACACACATCCTGCTTTTCAGCCTGCTCCATACCTTCACGTACCTTTCAACTTTTCTCTGTGATCACTGCAGAAGTGGTTTGCCTTTCCGTTCCTGCTTGCAGGCTGTCCCTCCAGCAGCCCACAGCAGCTTCTGCAGGCAGCGTTTAGCAGCGCTCAGAGCCGCCTGGTAGCTGGGAGCGAGGCTTGGCCAGTGGTGGCCAGCCAGCTCTCCCCCTGTCGTCACCGAGGCTCCCCAGACCCTCCAAACAACCTCGGGTAGCTTCAGCGCAGTGCTGGAAGCAGCAGCTCAGCGAGGGGAGGTGCAGCAGTGTCCCCCTCCCTGCCCCTCTGGGCTCCCACGGAGTTTTTAGGCCCTTCCACTCACAGATGCTCAGGAGCGTGCTCGTGTGCAGGTTTCTCCCTGGCCTCTGGATTTGTCACTGCTCAGGAGCTGCTATTGCTCAGCCTGTGCTGACGTTGCTGTGGGTTGTTCTGAATCTGCTCTGTTCATGCTTGGTTGGTAGATGGTGTAACTGCTCATTCTGGAGATGGTGCAGCTGGTTCGGGGCTTTTGTTGGAGAGCCTGTGAATTAGTGGGATGCAGAAACCAGAAGTTTGTGAGGATCTGGTCTGTTCCTTTCGGTGCACATCCATTGCGTGGTCTTCAAATATTTAATTCCTGTACAAAACAGTGATGCTCTAATAAGATACCATCTGCATTGAGCCAGGTATTTTAGCCACACCTTCAGTCAAAGAAGCCCCAGGCGTCTTGTCTCCCCCACTCCCTGGAAAACACTGGAGCCTGTGCTAGGGACTTCTTTTTGCTCTTGATTTTTGCATGGAGTGTGCTCTGATCTCGCAGTGATGAGTGGCAGTGTAAAGCTCAGAGATGTACTTACTCGTTGTCAGCGTGCTGAGAAGAAAGATGCTGGCTGGACTTGGGGAGTTTCTTAAATGAAGGAGCTGATGCTCCTGCTCTTTTTTAGGTAGGAATGTGTACCTCTGGCACATTCTTCCATAACTTTTGACCTGAGAAATTAGGGAACCATTTGTGTATCTATGCAATCCTGAAAAGTTACTTGAACAGTCTTTAAAGGAACATCAAACCAACAATTTTTAATTAGATCGTGGGTTTTTTGGTGTTTCACTGAGTTGTAAACCTGAAGTGGCTGTCCCTGAGCAGAGTGCCTCTCTGTGCAGCATTATTCAGCTTTTTCTCAGCTGCTGCTGGCTACTGTGCCATGCTACAGCAATTTCTCTCCCTCTCTGGCTATCATCTTCCTATTGCTTTAGGTCACCAACGAGCGTGTGATTTCCAGTAATGCTGCAGCCTTACGGGAGCACTTAATAAATAACAAGATGCAGTGGGGGCAAACAGGAGGATCACACGCGGCGGCAGCCTCCTGCTCTGGCAGAGCAACTTGGCCAGATTGCTCAGATTTGGGAACTGCAGCCAAACGATCCCTTGTCATGGTGCGCGGGGGTCCTCTCCAGGTTAAGGTTTCGTGGCTCTCCTCTTTCCCAGCCCTGGAGTTAAATACTGCCTTGAGCCCCAGGGGGAAATGGATACGGTTGGTTAACACTTCAAAAAAGCCTTGAGAGATGCAGAGGAATGCTGTGGTGATGGCTGCTGATCATGGAAATCTCTGTTGATGCTGCGAAGAATATTTATTCATATTGTGAATCCTCTGCTTATAATTAATTAGAGTTGCATTGCAGGCCAGGAAGAGTTATATACCTGAATCTGCTGTGCTGTTGCTTTTTTCTCATATCCTCCCTTCAGTTCAGTACCTCTCCTGTTGTGCCTCTGGTCAGGGCAGGAGATGTTGAACCTTGACGGTCCAAAACCATCTCAGGTGGAGACAGGGAGACAAATGTGGGAACCCCAGTGCTGCAGGGACTCCTGCAACAAGGGGGGTTTGTATCAAAACCAGTATCTGCCTGGGGTGTGAAAGGTGCTGCGTGTATTTAGTCCTTCTCAGCAAGCCAGGCCAAGCAGCACGTGCTTCGTGGTGCTCAGAGGACCTGGTTGTAATCTGCCCTGCCCCTGGTTTTACAAGGTGCTTGTCGGTGGGATCACAGCTCTGATTTATTCTGGTTTGAGAGGGATTGAGAAAGAAGCCTAGATCCTTCCAGGGATCCTGCCAGGTTAGGTTAGACTTAAAACTTTTAAAACAAAACTTTTTAAAGTGTGTCCTGGAAAACACAGGAAAGACAGACACAAACATTTTGCTCTGGGATGTAAACAGCACAAGCACTGCAGTGGTGAATAGGAGAGCCAGGGCGTGAGTCTGACCGTGAACATAGAGTTGCATTAATTTGTTGATCTTGGCCCGCAAAGAGATTTGCAAAAGGAAACATAGTCCTCGGGAAAAAGTAAATTTTGTTGGAAGACTCCATTTTTAAAATTAAAAGTGTTGCCCTGAAAAAGATGGAGTATGGAGCCAGGTTTTAGCTGCGGTAAGTTGGCAAAGCTCAGTTTGCCCTGGGTGGCTTCGAGATGACCTGCACTGCTTAGGCTGTGGGTTGGCATCTGTGGCTGGGCTGTATCCCTTTCTTGCCCTCTTCCCAGAAAGAGATGTTTAAACCTCAGCTTGCGATTGCATGAACATCTTATTTCTGCCTTTCCTGTTTGCCCGCAGGTACGTTGGTGAGCTGATATCCGATTCCGAGGCAGACGTCCGGGAAGAAGACTCCTACCTCTTCGACCTTGACAACAAGGTACTGTATCTGAAGGTGTCTAATGAGATAAACCCGAGGTCTTGCCTCTCCAAAAGAGCAAAGAGCATGCTTGTCTCCATCTTGATGTGCAGCACCATCTGAAAGCCTGCAAAAAGGAGGACGACATCCTCGCTGCGTTTTAGTCAAAATCCAGAGTAGCTGAGGTAGGGCTCAGCGCTTGTTCAGCTGGTCACAGCCCAGCAGCACTGGGCCGCTGCGGTACGTGCTGCCCACACCAGTTTTGATGCAAGATGCTCGTCTGTCAAAACCGTTCGGGCATCCTGAGTTCAGTTGTTTGGTGTTTGATACTCAAGTGTGTATATGCAGGCTTGCAGCTGGGTTGGCTGGCAGCTCGGTAAGGTCTTCATAAAAAGATGGTCTGGAAGACTGGGAAAAAAACCCACCCTGTTCACTTATAAAGGGATCCGTCAGATACCCTGGCAGAGACTCGAGGTTTGTTCTGCTGGTAGTTATCCTGTGCTGCTCTGCAGAGGGTTTTCTCAGAGCAGAAATCTTGCTTTGAAAAGTGTGACTGACCTAAAGCTTCTAAGCATGGCCATCACTTCAGACTTCCCTTGGGAAAGGAGAAGAGAGGAAGGTAAGCTGGGGACTCAGAGGAGTGGGGTGGCTTCCAAGGAAGGCTGTCAAACTGTCTTGTTCCTATCATCAGCTACTGACAAAGAAACTTTACTTTTTTTACTTTTTTTTTCTTTGATTTCTTTTTTTTTTAAAGCAACACATTCAACAACTGAAAAAAGATAAGTAACGAGTCTTGTAGTCAGTCTGAAAACAGTGGGGTCAAACTGTAATTAAGAAGTTGAAAAGCAGCAGGGACTTCAGCCTGCTTTGTGCATTTATGAGCAAGAGCCCACCTGGGCCTTTCCTGGCCTTTAGGTTAGCCCCTGGCTGGCTGCCTTGAGGGAGAACCTCTGCGTTTGCTCTTATGAAGCCTTCAGTGAAGCAAGGAGAGAGACCCAAGTACAGGCATAAGCATCTTCTTTTTTCAGGGTATCTCCAAAGTCACCTTGTAGAAATCTGTTGTAGTGTCTGTAGAAAGCCAGGCACCAAGTCACTGAGTGATGGGTAAGGGAAGCCCATCGGGCCGGCTGGAGGAGGGCAGGGCAGAGCCAGCTGTGTCCTGTGGCCTCCTGAGGGATGGGAAATCACTGAAGGTGTGAACCCCAACCCTCGAAGGGCAGCCTTGGGTCCTGGTGTGTCTCAGAGGAGTGGCCTGAATGGGCTTTGGCTGCAGTGAGAGCGGTGGGGTCGTCAATTTCTGTTGTCCCTGTTCCTTGGGTTGTTGTCACTCAGGGCGGGTGTGTGGTGCATGGTTCAGTGTGCCAGGTCCTGCAGTCACATCCCGTTTCGCATCTGAAAGAGGGCAAACATCAAACAGCCAAAACGTACTGCCACTGCTGGCTTCCCAGGAGGAAGACATCGCACAACAGATGCTCTCTGAGCTTCCACTGCTTAAAGGGATGGTTTTCTTGTCTCTGTACTAGAGAGCTGGAAAAAAACATGCTATTTCTGGGAAAGACGAAGTTGGGCTGTAGCTGCTGTGGTTGCTTTCTGTTGGTGCTCAGCCACCCCTTTCCCACACGCAGGCCCATCCTCTGCAGCCCTTGCTCACACTTGGCCTTGCTGTGCTCCATCGAGGAGCTGTGTGACCCCAGGCAAGATGGGCTTTCTCTGGGCATCCCCCCTTCCAAGAAAGCCCAGTGCCTTCCCGCTCTTGAGGACCAGACTCCTCTCACCCCATAGCAAGTTCATGGTTTCTCCTTCCCCTCTCTGGCTGCCACTGTACGACTCTAAGTTCCCAATGCCCTCACAGCAGGGTGGGAAGCAGTTTGCTTTGGGACTTGTCCTCCTCCCCAGCTTCCCAGTGAGAACTCTGCCTGTGTTGCTCAAGGCAGCAGGCTCCTTTCTAGAAGGAACACATCTTGATGTGCATGGTGGAGAGCTCGGATCTCACCAGGTGGTCACTAGATGTGACAGCGGGTGATGTTGTCCTCACCGACCGTGACATTTCCATGGATGAAAGCGAGGGCCTGATGGGAATTACTTATAACTGAAATCAGAGCTGCTTACCCTGTGTGTGATACGGGACCGTGTGGGGTGACGCCTCCCCCGGGCGTGGGGACGTCTGCCCTGGGCTCCCGCGCCAGCCGGGTGGTGTGATCTGGCACAGCTCGTCCATTAACGATTGCAAGGTGCTTGCCCAAAAGGGAGTTTGAGCACCACTAATGGATCCTTTTGCTTTTGGCCTCTTTGCAACTGAAATTAACTTCTGTAATTAAAGTCTCTGCTTTGCACAGTCATTCTCTGCTGGAATAAAAAAGCCCTGAGGGGGGCTCTTTTATTTTCAAGGAAAACAAAATATTACTGCTCTCTGGAAAGGGAATTTCTGTGTTCTCACTTTCACTCTTATCTGCAAAAACCTGTGTTTTCTCGAGGCTCTGGCTTTGTGTTTCCTAGCTGTCACGTTCAATTAGAGGACAGAACAGTTGCCTGTTCCCCTGTCCAGTGGCTTTTACCCATAAGGTGTCTGCCTGCCCCAAACATCGATCCCACTGCGCCGAACTGGTGCTTTAGCAGAGCAGGACTGGGGAGGGCTGGTGCGCCAGCCGGTGTCAGGGGCATTTTAAAAGGTCTTTGGGCTGGTGGGGGCAGAGTGCTGTGCAGCAGACTGTATTTTCAGGGTACTGGTGAGTATAACAGTGTGCGTGTTTAGTCCTTTTAAACCCACGGTGGGTGTCCTGCCCTGGCAGTGGCTCTTCTTGAAGCTCTCCAGAGCGTTAGTGGAATGACCGCTTGTTTTATTTAAACAAGTAGCAGTAACAAGACTAACCCCAACCTCATCTAATGAAAGACGCTGTGTTTCTCCTCCAGGACGGAGAGGTGTACTGCATAGATGCCCGTTTCTACGGCAACATCAGCCGCTTTATAAACCACCTCTGCGAGCCAAACCTCATCCCGGTGCGAGTCTTCATGTCACATCAGGACCTCCGCTTTCCCCGGATTGCCTTCTTCAGCACGAGGCATATAGAAGCCGGGGAAGAGATCGGGTAGGTGCTGTCCCCGGGGCTGCCCTTGGCGGGCAGCCAGTGCCTCGCTGGGGGAAGGATGGGGTCCAGAGAGATGAAAACTTGCTGCTCCCGAGCTTCGCTCCGTCCCTTTGCTCCCGGGGCCGTGTCCCCAGAGTCCCCTGGGGATCCCGCAAACACGCTCCGTCCCTTGAAGCTTTGCCAAAGCCCAGAGCGTGGCGGCACCGAGGACTGCCGACCCCGGCGCCTCGCTCTGCCTGCTTCTGCTTTGCCGTGACCCCGTCTCTGTCTCTCTGTCTCTCTCTCTCTCTTGCAGGTTCGACTACGGAGACAGGTTCTGGGACATCAAAGGCAAATACTTCAGCTGTCAGTGCGGTTCACCCAAGTGCAAACACTCGAGCTCAGCGCTGGCCCAGCGGCAGGCGAGCACCTCGTCCCAGGACACGCAGGAAAACGGGCTCCCCGACACCAGCTCTGCCATGGCAGCCGGCCCCTTTTGAGGCTCCGCTCCCCAGAGACTGACTTGTTTTAACCCTATAGATTCACATACTGTCTGAATTTCCATTTAAAGAGAAAAAACCTGAAAAACGAGAAAAAAAAAAAAACACACACACAAAAAAAAAAAAAAAAAAAACAAACAAAAAAAAAACCGGCTCAAGGAAAGCCAAGGGTTCGTGACACTTAGGGCTGTGCCACCGACTGTTACTTGAGGAATAAGTAAAAGCAAATCCCACCTCCGTGATGTTGTTCTCCCCTCCCTGGTCCTGGAAAGCTGCTGGTTTTCACAGATGCGTGTGGAGGGGTGGCTGTTGCGTTTTTTTTTCCATGCGAGCTGTCCTGGCCTCCGTCTCTTAATGTGCTAAGTGTTGTCAGAGCCAAGGGAGAGCCGCCCGTCCTCCGACTGTTGTTAATTGAATGGATCGCTCATGCCAAGTCATCTCCAGTTCACTTGTAATAAACTTTGAATACTTGATGGGACTTTCTTTCTAAACGCCGGGGGGAGCGGGGAGGGAGCGGGAGGTGCTGGCGTTTGAGTTTGCTTGGCACAGCCCTGGGGCGAGGTTCTGCTGGTTGGTTTTTGTTGGTTTGTTTGGTTTTTTTGGTTGTTTTGTTGTTGTTTTTTTTTTTTTTTTTTTTTTTAAGAAAAAAACAACCCTGAATTTCTCCCACGTCTCACAGGATGTTGCGGTGGGGCCTTTCCCTAGGAGCGAGAGGGCATTTCCAACAAGTACCCTCCTTGTTACCAAACCCACTGGCTTTTTTCTCTTCCGATGAGAAGAAACCCACAGTCCTTACAATCCCTCTGGTCCCTGGCTCCCTCCCGAGCTGACCGGAGCCGCTTCCCCCGAGGCCCCGCTCCCTCCCGGGCTCTCTCCGTTACAAACCAGCTCTCGTCTGCGCCGCTTGGCCGTGTTACTGTCTCAGTGTTCGGTTCGTCCGTGGAAGGATTTCCCTCACCCCGTCGCATTAGTGGTTTTAGAGAGGGAAGGTTGAAGGGGATTGTACAAGACACTAACTTCTTAAGAAAATCAGTTTTTTTCTTTTTTTAAAATAAAGCAAACGATATATATATTAGAGAGAACCTCAACTCGCGTCTGCCGGCTGGGGCGAGCAGCAGACAGGACGCGTCACGGCGAGGAGATCCCAGATGCCACCAGCTCGTCTGTTCCCATCACTTTTCTCAACGCTGGGCACCTTCGATTAATTTTTAAGCTACACACTATGAGGTTTCAATAAACTGATTTATTTTTTACCATTACCGAAACATTGGGGACTAGCATTAAAAAGAAAAAAAAAAAAAAAACACAAAAAACCCTACAAAAAATAAACAAAACGACAACAAAAAGAAACCACAAAACAAAACGGTGCTGATTCTGGTGTGATTTTTGCTCACCACGTGAATATAAACTATCAATTGTATAAAAAGAACAAAGTGATTTTAGTATAAAAATGCAGGAAAAAAACAAAACTTTTTTTAAATTGTTAGTATTGTAGTGTGAATAAATTTGCCATCACCTTTTGTGTGGTGGCTGGGCAGGTCATTATCTTAATTTTTTTTTTTTTTTTTGCATATATCTTTAAATACTGTAATTAGTGCAGTAACAGTTTTTTTTTTTTTTGTTCATCTCTTCTAGAACATTCATAATGCCGTCATGTTTATTATTATTATTTTTTTCTGTTAATGTTTTTGACAGTTTTAAAGGAGCAGCCTTTTGGCTCTGATCATTTTCTTGTTCTGTTTTCAATGAAATCAATAAAAAAAGAAAAAAAAAAAAAAAGTGCTTTAAAAGGAGTTTGGCCTCTTTGTCTGCCGTGCTGGTGGGGATGGCAGCGTGCGGGACTGGGCTGGCGCTGAGACCTCATGCTTGGGCTTAAAAGGAAAATTAGGAAAGCAAGAAACAACCCGGCATGCTTTTATGAGAGAGGAAAAAACCCCGACTGGTCAGGGGGGGGATCAGTTTGGGTTTTAAATTTTGTGTCCGAGGCATCCGAGCTGGGAGCCTGGCCCCGCTGCGGGGTGAGCGGTGCTGGCACTCCCCGCTGTGCAGAGCTGGGCCCAGGCTTTGGGGGGTGCCTGATGCCTCCTCGTCACCGGCACGGGGGCAATTAAATCAAATTAAAAAAGCCAAGGAAAGGGGCGGGGGGAGAATGTCCTGCTTGTGAGCAGCCTTGGGCACGGTTCCTGTCATGGGAGGAGGCAGCGGGGAGGGACCGCAGGACTCCCCGTGGGTGTTTGGCTGGGCCAGCAACACTGAGCAGGCCAGGGGCTGGGTTTGGGGGTGCTGGGGGGGTCCCGGGGGAGCAGGGCTGGGTTTGGGGGTGCTGGAGGGTCCCGGGGGAGCAGGGCTGGGTTTGGGGGTGCTGGGGGGTCCCGGGGGAGCAGGGCTGGGTTTGGGGGTGCTGGAGGGTCCCGGGGGAGCAGGGCTGGGGGTCCCCCAGGAGCAGCGGGCGCGGGGTGTGGGGGGGTGCTGCCGGGGCGGCGTGACTAAGCACAGCCACCGCGCACCCTCGCCGTCAACCCGCGTCGGGAAAACAAGCAACTCTGAGTCACTGCCAGTCAATAGCTCATAAAAATATTCATAAATGGTAGGAAAAGCCCGGCCCGATGCCAGCCAGGGATGGGAGGAGTGTGGGGGGGGACACTTCGGCCATGGCCTCGCACGCTCGCCCACCTCTCACCAACCTGGCAGGAGCCTTCATCACCTGCAGAGCCCTGGAGGTGCCCTCATCATCCTCACTCACAAGTTGGGCAGCTCGAGGGCAGTGGATCAATACAATCCAGTGTCTTTGGGTTGGGTTGGTTTGATAAGAAACGCTGGGGTTTGCTGCTGGAGTTGCAAAGGGTGCCGTTAGGAATAGCCAGAGCTGTCGGGAAAAGCGAGCAGGACCCTTGAAGACACCCGTGTGCCCTTGTACGTCGAGACCATTTAACTATGGGCTAATGCTAATTATAATAATACATTCCAATACTGTAGAATTAAACATTATAATGAAAATAATATGCTTTAATTGAAGGTAAAAAGTGAAAAACCCCCAGAGAAATCTAATCTCTGAACACAACTTTCCTGAAATCAGTTATTTTCCTGGAGTCGAGGGTGGAAACACACGTGTTTTCGATGGTGTGTGGGGTCACACGATGCTGGTCCTGGGTGCAGAGAGGATTTGCACCCAGCAGAGATGGGTGGAGGTTGAATGCACCAGCTTGCACACAGTTACAGGTAACCCCCAGCACCTTTGGGTGATGCCTTTGCTTTTCTGTGCAAATCACTGCAAATTAAATACACACATTTAATGCCCCATCACATTTCCAAGGGTAAGGATGAGCCGAAGAAGGGCTGTCCATTTTAGCAGGCATTTCTGCAAGAGGAGAGGGTCCTGGTGGGGCGGCTGCTCCGGGGACGGGGCAGGCGAACGGGGTTGGGGTACGGGGGCAAATCCTCCTCGGCCGCTCTGCCGTCCCTGCTCGACTGGGGCCAGCGGCTGGTTGAGATGTTTCATTTCAAGGGATGCAACAATTTTAATGTTAATGTTTTCCCTGAAGCTAGGCTGCTCTGTTGCTAATTGATAGCTCCTTATGAACCGCTGGTGCCAAGCCTTCGCTGTGCACAGCCCTGGCTGCCCGAGGAGGTGTCTGTAGCTCTGATTTTGCTTTTTTTTAAGAGAGAGCTTTCTTTTCTTTTAATGCAGTGAGAGCATCTGCTGCGGGCTTTGCTCTCAAGCAGCTGGTAGTCACTTTGCTCATGGCAGTTGCCTGCACGGGAGGATTTCTTTTCCTTTTCACCCCACTGCCAAGCGAGACACAAGGCCTTGCAGCCACCCTGTGCGGGGCTGGGAGCCTCCCCTCAGCTCCACTGAAAATGCAGAGGAACTGTCAATGATTCATTTGCCTTTTCCAGGGGATTTTGGCATTCGCCATACGATGCTTCGCGATGTCCCCACAGCTGCGCAGCCACCCCAGACCAGGGAAGAGCAGGGTCAGGGCTGGATGCTGGATTTTGGTGCTGAGCTCAGGCAGGGCACGGGGCTGAGCTGAGGGGGAATCTTGTGATCTTGTGCATCCCGCAGCATCCCACCCTTGCCTGTGTGGGTGGGAGGAGGGTAACAGAGCAAACCCCCTGATTTCACAGAGCTGAAGGAGACCCCGCTCTCCTTCCACTCATGGGACATCCCTGTTCCCCTTCTTCTTCCCACTGGGCCTCCACCAGAGAAGGTCGGGGACCCCCAGGCCAAGGTGGGGGTGCGCAGCGGGTCTGCACTGAGCTGGGTCCTGTGCACAGTGCTGGCCCCACGGGCCAGAGTGCAACGGCCCTTTTTGGGGTGCTGCACCGTGCTCACACCTCGGGGCACGTGGGGGGGATGTGCTGGTTCACCGCAGGAGTGGGACCAGGCAATTCGGGGTGCCTTGCTGGGGGGGTGTGGCTGGGTGATGGTGCTGAGCCAGGCTCCTTCATGCACATCTCCCTCCTGCACCCCGCTCCTGGTGGGCGTCAGCCCCCCTATAGTTATAGGGGAGCATCCTACAGGGGCCGGTGACCTGCTCCGGGGTCAGCGGACGAGATGTGGAAGGACCAAACGGAGCTGCACGGGATCAGACGGTGCTTCCCCGTGCGAACCCGCTGCCCACCGAGCAGGTCGTGGAGCTGGGGGGCTCGTGCTGGCTCCTCTCTCCGGGGGCTGCTGGGCACGGGGGGGTTAGAAAGGCACCCAAAAGGCAGCAGCCATGGCCCTGCCGCTGAACTGACCCGGTGAAACCAGAAAATTACCCTGAAATCCTGGAGCTGATCTGCCTTCTCCTCTTGATATACTCCATCTCTCCCTTTGTTCCGCAGCGCTGACCTCCCTCACGGAGGAAATGTGAGCGAGGGCGATGGTTATCCCTCAGCCTGGGATTGGCAGGTAAGAGTTATAAAATCTCTATAAATGTACAGTTTCACCCCGTGTCTCATTCCTGAGCCTTTGCCAGAGCTGGAAGAAATATTAGTTTATCTTGCTGATAGCACAGAATATTCCCTCGCCTGCTGAAAGAGCTCCCTTATCGCCCTTTTAATTTCCTTTCTAGTGCTACGGGGCAGGATGAAAAGCCACGGGCACTATCGCTGTTGGCAGGGAAAGGCCTTGATGTCCTGGCTGCTGGCTATGAGAGCCTCGCAACAGGCTGAGGTTCAAGTTTAAAGTCTGCAAACAGAGTGGGAGTGATGAAGCAGGCGAAGGGAAAGGTGTTGATGCCAGGGGAGGTCGGGCTCAGCTCCCCCCCCCCCCCCCCCCCCCCCCATTCCTTCCCCAAACATTAGCACTAACGGACTAAACGCCCAGAAAAAGCAAATATTGCTTCACTTTGCCTGTGAGCAGAGGTGAGATGCTGCTGTTTTAATTGTGAGGGGGGGGGGAGGTTGAACAAGGTCAGCCTCACGCCTGAGCCTTCCTGCTCGACTCTGCCTTCTAATTTCTGTTTAACGAATGCGAGAGTCATTACAGGGAGCTCAGCGCCCAACCGCTGTGTGGAGCGGCCGCGGGGGGCTGCGGCTTTGCCGGGTGGCACCGGGGGGGGGATGACATCTTGCTGGATGTACCTGCGTGCCGTGGAAGGTGGCAGCGCCCACGAGCCCGGCTGGGGAACGGCGGTGCCGAGAGAAGCCAAAGCCGCGGGCCGGTGCCGAGGAGCGCGGGGCTGCCTGCTGCTCCCACGCAGGACGCGGCTCAGCCCACCGGGACCCGGCCCCAGCAGCCTGGCGAGGCCGGCTCCCCCCGGAGCTGGGGCAGAGCCGAGCCCTCGGGCTACAGCTGCTCTTTCTGCAGCATCAGGGGGGCCCCGGCAGCAAAGAAACGCCCCCGCGCCTGGAAAGCTTGTATCTGTAATGAATAAATGCTCCCCAGCCCCTCTGGGGTGGGTGGGGAAGTGGGAGGAAGGAAACTCAGGCAAGGGGAGTGTCCTGACCACTGACCAGCACCTGCTCAGCACTAGCAAAAGTGGCTGAAACACTTGGGGTTTGTTAAGCAGCTCTTTGCCATCCTCTCTCTTGGAGGTCCAGAAGGTTTGCAGGTACCTAAGACAAAAGCCCTGGCCCCTCCCTAGACCTGCTGGTGTTGCAGTTACCTTAATCAAACAGTTTGGATCCTAGAATATTATTTTGATTTTACTTTAAAAGTATGATTTTGACTTAACATGAAGCTTCAGTAGCTCTGAGAATATAAAGTACACTGAGGCCCTTAGGATTAAGCAACTAGTATGCTGTGTGCCTTGAACACTCTAACAATCATTATGGACTGTGAATTAACACAATAGGTACTGGTTATTGTCCTGGG